AAAAAAAAAAAGGAGAGAGAAGAGGATAAAGACAGCAGTGAACAATCGAGAGGCAGGATGTTAATGAGAAATAGATATGGTTTATTACCTGTTGATGATGACATGTATAGTATTCTCAACTGAACTGGTCTGGAAAGTATTTCATGATGGGTGAAGTCTTTTTAATAAGCAAAATGAGAAATAGTGATTGACTGTTTAAAAAAATTATAATAATAATTATTGGGAAAAGCATGGAAAAGATATTGAATGATAAAGCAGGGAGATTGATATCTCTGTATTGACTGACATGCATGGCATTCCCTTTTGAAAAAGCAATGGAAGTCAATGTAAAGTTATATGTAATCTAGTGTAACAGAAAGAAGATTATGATGATAATAAAAAAAAAAAAAAGTGTCTTTATTATTTGAGTAACTTGACCAGAGAGAGACAGAGAAAGGGAAAGTGTGAAAGTAAGCCTCCAGGTTTGGGAATCGAACCACGGTCAACCAGGTGGGAGCCCAGCACCTTAATCACCATGCCACCTGCTGGCCCCATATCTTTAAGTTACTGAAGTTCCGAGTTCTGCATAGCAACTTGAACTGTACTGGGCCCAAGTCCTTTGGTCCCTACCTGGCATACAGTTGGTGAGGAGTGGATGGAGGGACAAGGTACCTGGGTTGTAGACCCAACTCTGCCATTTCTTGGCCACATAAGCTTGACCATATCCTGTGGCTTGTTCTTTGACCGTTTCCTCACTGGTTAATGCAAGAGCCAATGAATGTCAGTGTGCTTTGAAAACAATAAACCCCCTAAATAAACTTCATATTTTTAAACATACTGCATAAATAGATATATTATAGAAAAGTGAATGGATAAGATGCTTTCATCATGGCTAGTTCATTTTCAGATGTAGAAGTCTGGATGAGACTGCAGTAGAGTAGGTCATGTTAGCAAAAGTGACTCACTACAGGACCAGCAGGTGGCATAGTGGCTAAGGTGCTGGACTCCCACGTGGCCAACTACAGTTGAAGTCCTAGACCTGGTGGCTTGCTTTCTCACTCTGTCTCTCTCTCTGGTGAACATGCATGCCCTACAGCAAATGAAGAAAAATAAGTGTTAAAATGAGATAAATAATTCTTTTTAAAAAAGTAACTTGGGACCAGTAAATGGCATAATGGTGGCATAATGGTTATATCACTGGACTCTCACGTAGTGAACCATGGTTCAGGTCCTGGACCCAGTGGCTTAGACCTCATGCTGGGTGCCTGTGCATGTGTGCCCAAGATCTCGAGAGGAGAATGGAGGAGTAGGGATTTCGACATGGTCATCCCTCCTGGGGTGTGATCTGTCTCTCTGGAGAGCACACACGTCCTGTAGCAAAAATCTTTCAAAACACATACACACACATACACACACACACACACACACCCACAACAGTGACTTACTGATGGTGGTTAAGGGTTGTTAGGGCAAAGGCATTTTAAGTCCCTTATCCCCACTCACCTGTGGTACTGGCTTCTGTAGAACATAGCGTGTGTGTGGCCTTCCTTCATCTTTCTAACTCCCTGAAAACTGGAAGGAACAGCAACGGTATCTTACCTATGAAAAACAGCATCTTGCCACTTCCTAGTAAGTGTCTCAGGCCTCGCCAAAGGCAGAGGCATTCAAGACAGCAATGTAAGAACCAAAAGGCTGGGGCTGGCAGGTGGCATGGTGGTTAAGGACACTAGACTTCGACAAGGCTGACCATGGTTTGAATCCCAGACTTGGCAATTTGCTTTTTCACTCCCTCCCCCCAACCCCACTCTTTCACTCTGTACATCTCTGGTCAAATTATAAGTAAATAAAGTTAAATAAAAATAATTCTTTAAAAAAATAAAATAATTAAAAGGCCAGTTGAGGGCCAGTGGGTAGCATGGTGGTTAAGGCAGCAGGATCCCAGAGGGCCAACTGAATGGTTTGAGTGCCAGACCCAGTGGCTGGAGAAATACACCGGGCACATATGTGCCTAAAATCCCATGAAAATAGAAGAGATGGGATAGCGGTGTAGCCATCCTCCCTCGGGGTGTGTGTGGGGGTGCTCTCTCTCTCTGTCTCTCTCTGGTGAGTACAGGTTCCCTGTAGTAATTTTTTTATAAAAAGGTCATTTGGAGTATTGATAGATAATACACAAAGCATTATGAGTAAGTAAGTATAGAGAAAAAAATGTTCATATAACACTGAAGAATACATTTTGAAGGCATTCTTCAGGATCGTTGACCGTTAGCATTGCAAGTGAACTCGCAGCTATTGTGGTGGTAGCTGAGAAGGGGGAGGAATCCAGGAACCTGAAGTTATTAACTTTTCTTCCCAGGAAGCTCCTCTGCCAGCTTTGTTTCCCAGGGGAGGGAGGGTTGTTATCTCTGCTTCTATTTCCCTCACTTACCCTTTGCCCTCTGTTGAGCAGCCTCGGCATGGATCAAACCCAGTTTAGATAACTGAGATTTGGCTTCGATTTTTATCTTGCTTTATACCATGTTTATGACCTTGTTTGTCTTCTTGGAGAGTGCATAAAAATTCCTTGTAAAACTCATTACCAGGAAATGCTAAGAGTGGGGGGGTGATTTTTTTTTTTTTAAGTTTTTGCTGTAGGGTGCTTGCAGTTGCCAGAGAGACAGAGACAGAGATGACGGGGAGGGAGTGAGAAATCACCTACCGGGAGAATGGCCATGCCATAATCCTTTCTCCTCCATTTTATTCTCTAGATTTGGGGCACACACAGACATGTGCCCAGCGTGATTTTCAAGCCACCGGGTCTGGGACTTAAACTGCAAAGTCAGCCATGTGAGATCCGTCTGCCTTAACCTCTGCACCACCTGCTGGCCCAGGAAATTGCCAATACATCCAGCAAATTCTATGTCCATTTCTTAGGTTCCTTTTTGTGCCATTGGGCCTAACAAAGAGCCAGCTAAAATGAACAGCCAGAACAGCTACAGATACCTCAAGCTAGCGAGGCCTCAAGGAAACGTGAATTTATTCAGCTCCTCAAAGAGAAGGGCTACCGGAAAGGTAACAGACTTATTCTATAAGGTGCTTTCATACCCAGCATGCCCGGAACACAGAACCCCCTTAATTCTTCAGGGAGTGTGTGCAAGAGACCATGGGAAGAATGTCTAGTTTCAAGTTCTTTCTATTAGAGGCTTTTCCAAAGCAACATATCTTTGGTTATAGAATGTAAGTCTAGGGGCCGACAGGTGGTATGGTAGTTAAGGGTGCTGGATTCCCATATTGGTGACCGCAGTTCAAGTCCCGGACCTAGAGGCTTGCCTTCTCTCTTCCCCTTTCTCTCTCTCACTCTGTCTCTCTCTGATCAAATTAAAAAATAATAATAACAAATAGAATGAAATAATTCTGTTTTTAAAAAGTAAGTCTATAAGGAAATAACGATTCTACATACATGATCTTAGCTTACATGTAACTTTACTTTTCAGATAGTTTTATGGCAAGGAAGCTATGTTTTAACCACTTCTAAAGGGTTAACTATTGTAAATTCAGCACGTTCTAATGATCCGTGGGTCAAAAAACTTTAATCACAGGACGGAAGTGTTTTAAGCTGTATTACGTTCTCAGAAACCCTCGTAAGAGTCCCAGTTGGTGGCCAGGTTCACAGGCTGCTGTAGATGCGCTTGATGGCTCTGGCTTCCTCTTCATCCAGGATGCCTTTCTCCACGTAGGCATCAGCTTGCTGGTTGATGAAGTCCCTCATCTTTGAAAGGTCATACTCTGGAAAATATGATCAGCGTTATCATGAGCCACGATGAGCAAAGGCCAGTCTCATTACAGTGATCACCATTAACCGGGGAGCGTTTTGTATCATAACCCCATTGCCATTCCCGCCTTCCACACTGGACATTATTTTAATTCCTGGTGTTCGTGCAGGACTTCGCAGTTCGAAATGATATTTACATGTCTTACGTATCCAGTGTGCTCCTCATCCCAACCAGGGAGGTGGTCGGGTGGAGAGGACCAAAGCAAGAACAGCCTCAGGAGCCAGGGCTTTGCAAACTTTAATGTTTACACCAATCACCTGGGGCTCTTGGGAAGCTTCAGGTGCAACCTACTCAGTGACCTGGGGTGGGCACCCTGGTTTTACGTTTTTGTTTTTTTCTTAAAAGAATTATTTATCAATTATTATGTTTGTAATTCACCAGAGAGAGACAGAGAGAGAGAAAGTGAGAAAGCAAGCACCAGGTCTGGGGACTCGAACTCTGGTCGACCACAGGGGAGTCCAGCACATTAACTACCATACACCTGCCGCTCAGTTTTACATTTTATACAAGCTCTGAGGAGATGGCAATGCTATTGCTCCACAGACTACATTTGGGGTAACAAGATCCTGAAGTGCCTTACTCAAGGTCACCCAGGTAGGAAAAGTTAGGACCAGAACCAGGTGTTCTGACTCTGAATTGCTTATGCCAGGTGAAGTCCCTATTTGATAGGGCAACTCACTGTTTTTCCCTTCGAATTAAGAATTATCTTAATAATGGCTTAATGGTTATGTTGCTGGACTCCCATGTGGTCAATCACGGTTTGAGTCTCAGACCTGGTGACTTAAAAACCTCACACCGGGTGCGTGTATGCGTGCCTACGATCCCGAGAGGAGAATGGAGGAGAAGGGGTTGAGGCATGGCCATCCCCCTGGGGGATTTCTCGCTTTCTGTCTCTCCGGCAAGCACACACGCCCTATAGCAAAAATCTCTCTCTAAAAAAAAAAAAAAAAAATCTGGATTGTTTCATGCTGTCTGAATTGTATACATAGAGCAAAAACCAAACTATAACCTCTTTATCATTATTGTCTTAACAAAACCTATATAAATCATCAAACCATCCACCAAAAATAGATTTCAACGTAATGAGACCACATATGGAATTTTTCTGAAGGCTTAAAAAAGGCAAATTTTCTTTCTTTCTTTCTTTCTTTCTTTCTTTCTTTCTTTCTTTCTTTCTTTCTTTCTTTATTCTTCAGTTAGGGGAAAAGAAAAAAAAAAATCTCTGGAGGCCAGCTGGTGTCATGGTCGTTAATGTACTGAACTCCCACATGGTTGATTGCAGTTCAATTCTGGGACCTGGAAGCTCAAATCACACCGTGCATGCATGCCCCAAATCCTGAGGAGAATGGAGAAGGGACTGCACTGTGGCCCTCCCTTCTGCGGGGGTGATCTCTTACTTTCCCTCTCTCTGTCTCTCTCCAGCGAGTGCACACACCCTATCCCCCCCCCCCAATAAAAGGGCCAGCTGGTGGCATGGTAATTAAGGTACTAGACTCCCACATGGCCTAGCACAGTTTGAGTCTCAAACCTGGTAGCTTACTTTCTCACTTCTCTCTTTCTGTCTCTCTCTGGTGAGTGCATGTGCTGTACAGCAAATTGCAAAAATATGTAAATAAAATAAATAATTCTTAAAAGGCAAGAATTCTGCCTTGTTTCAGTTTGTAAAAGGGGAGAGCGGAGTAGGCCTGTAAAAGACCCATCCACGTCCACCCTCATTGAGCCTCAGTGTAATCTGAATCCAGGTCGCGCCATTTTTTTTCTTGGCCATAGGGCATGTGTGCTCACTGGAGAGAAACAGAGAGAAGGATCGTGAGAAATCACCCCCCAGGGGGATAGCCGCACTGCAACCTCTTCCCCAGTCTCCTCTGGAGGTTTTGAGCACACATGCACATGCACCTGGTATGATTTTCAAGTTGCTGGGTCTGGCACTGGAACCATAGGCTGCATGACAGTCTAGCACCCTAACCACCATACCACCTGCTGTACTCAGTGTATCTTTAAGCCCCTGGGTGAAAGGAAAGGAAGCCTGAGGACCTCTCTACAAGCCCCACCTGTTTACTCTATCAGGTGGGCTGAGGCTCAGCTTATTTCTTCTCCAGCCAGCAAGGCACTGGCCTCCAGCTAGGAACTGACCATGAGGGTTTAAAGAGAGGATTCCCAGCCCTGAGCACTCCACAACCGTCGCTGTAATTGCCCTTCACAAGCCCTATGAGGTAAGCCCGCATATTCCTGTTTCAGAGAGGAAGCAACAGGACAGGGGTTAAGTTGCTTGCCCAGGTGGTGCTGGAGTCAGGTTCTGAACCCAGCTCCGCCTGTGGTCACAGCTTTGATCACTCCATTGCCTTCAAGTACTGAACATAAGCATCTCACAGGCACAAACCCGTGTGCCACGCAGGCTCGTTTTTGCTATGTTTGATGTCTCCTGTTTGATTCCTGTCTCGGAAGGCATGAAGAGGCGCCTGCTGCTCACGGCCAGCTCACTACTACGGGCTCTGGGCTTGTCTGCAGGGTCAACATCTTTAACGGACTACCAGGCAGATTCCCAAAGGCAGATGGCAAGGGGCCTGGGTGATTTGAAGAGATAAACAGGGGAATATTTTGCCTTCTTTTTAAAGAGAAGAATTGCATTTTTGTGATGTGGTTGTCACTGTGCATAGTGGGAAAACCAGCCCCGTGCAGAGGGCAGGTCTCAGAGGCTAACCCCAGCCCTGCCCTAGCTGCCAGAGGGAGTAGACAAGCAGCAAGCTATCTAGCTCATTTTCTTATTTATTTATTGGAGAGGTTTTCGCTATAGGGTGCGTGTGCTCACCAGACAGACAGAGAGAGACATAGAGACAGAAAGCGAGCAATCACCCCCCCCCCGGGGGATGGTCACGCCGCAATCCTGTCTCCTCTTGGGATCTTGGGCACGCATGCGCAAGCACCCGGCGTGAGTTTTAAGCCACCAGGTCCGGGACGTGAACCGCGGTCGACTACATGGGAGTCCAGTGACATAGCCATTGCTCTAACTGCTGGTTCCCCATTTTCTTAGTTTTTAAAAAGAATAATCTTTTTTTTTGGAGAGGTTTTTGCTATAGGGCATGTGCGCTCACCAGAAAGGCAGAGAGAGACAGAGAGGTAAAAAGCAAGAAATCACCCCCCGGGGGAGGGGATGGCCATGCCATAATTCCTTCTCCTCCATTCTCCTCTTGGGATCTTGGACACGCATGCACATGTGCCCAGTATGAGTTTAAGCCACCGGGTCTAGGACTCAAATCGCTGTCAACTACATGGGAGTTCAGCGACATAGCCATTATGCCATCTGCTGGTCTCTTAAATAATTATTTATATACTTTTATTTAGTATCATCGTTATTTTAATTCACCAGAAACGGAGAGAGAAGGAAATTGAGAAAGCAAGCTGCCAGGTCTGGAACTCGAACTGGGATCAGCCATAAGGGAGTCCAGTATCCCAACCACCATGCCACCTGCTGGTTCTCTAGTTCACTTTAAAAGAGATTTTTAAGTTTGTAAGGCTCAAGAGAGATAGGGCTGTGATTCACTTTTTTATAAGCACATTTTTAAAAAGAATTATTTTATTCAACTGTATTCATTAATTTATTTTAATTTGACTAGGAAGGGACAGAGAGAGAGAGAGAAAGTGAGAAAGCAAGCTGCCGGGTCCAGGACTCGAAATGTAGTCGGTCATGTGGGAGCCCAAGACCTTTATTATTATTATTTTTTATAATTATTATATTTAAATTTATTTATTTCAGTTTGACCAGAGAGAGACAAAGTGTGAGGGGTAGAAGGGGAGAGGAGGAGAAAGAAAGCAAGCTGCCAGGTCCGGGACTTGAACTGTGGTAGGCCACGTGGGAGTCCAACGCCCTTAACCACCCTGCCACCTGCCAGCCCTCCCTGGGAGTCCAAGGCCTTTAACCACCACACCATCTGCTGGCCCCTATAAGCACATTTTTAAAAATTTATTTAGCTTTATTTATTCATTCATTTATTTTAATTTGACTAGAGAGACAGACACACAGAGAGAGTGGGGAAGTGAGAAAGCAAGCCACCAGGTCTGGGACTTGAACCATGGTTGGCCATGTGAGAATGTCCAGCACCTTGATCACCATGCCACCTACTGGTCCCCTAAGCATATTTTAAAAAAGGATTGCATAAGATTGTTATCATCATGGGACCAGCAGTTAATGTAATGGTTATGTCGCTGGACTCCCATGTAGTCGACCACGGTTCGCATCCTGGACCTGGTGGCTTAAACTCACGCCGGGCACATGTGCATGTGTGCCCAAGATCCCGAGAGGAGAATGGAGGAGAAGGGATTGCGGTGTGGCCATCCCCCCTGGGGGGGTGATATCTTGCTTTCTGTCTTTCTGTCTCTCTGTCTCTCTGGCGAGTGCACGTGCCCTATAGCACAAATCTCTCCAAAAAATAAAAATAAAAAAGATTGTTATCCTCATTCTCACTATCACTTCATGTGCCCTCCCATTTCTGGGTCTGCGGAGTCAATTCAGGTCACCAAGGCCCCTACCAAACAAAGGGCATTGGTAGAGGTTAGGAAAGGTCAAATTGGCAGGGACCAGCAGGTGGTGTATTGGTTAAAGGGCCGGCTAGCTATAGTTCGAGGCCTGGACCTGGCAGCTTGAAACTCATGCAGGGCGTGTGTACATGTTTACCCCAATTCCCTGGAGAAGAGTAGAAAAGAGATTGTGGTGTAGCCATCCCCTGAGGAAGGGGGGTGATTTCTCTCTCTCTTTCTATCTCTCTCTGTGTCTCTGGCAAGTGCTCATACCCTATAGAAAAATCTCTTTTAAAAAGTTCAGATCGGGCTAGGTCTGTGGTGTAGGGGTTAAGGCAGTTGGATCTCCTTTGGCTGACCTCACGGTTAAAGCCCCAGACCCAATGGCATGCATGCCCCAAATCCCAGCTGGATGGAGAACTGGAGAAGGGATTGCAGCGTGACTGCTCTCCATGGAGAGTGCTTTCTTCCCCTTTCCCCCTCCAGCTCTCTGGCTAGCACAGGTGCCCTCTGGCAAAATTAGAAAGAAAGAAAAAGATTTAATAGTAAATCTTCCTGCTCTCACTACTGCAGCTGCTGCAGGCACTCAGATCCAGATCTTCTCTCTTTAAAAGACCACATGGTGTATGGGACCAGCAGTTGGTGAATGGTTATGACGTTGGACTACCATGTAGTCGACCGCGACTCCCATGAGTCCCAGACCTGGTGGCTTAAACTCACGCTGGGTGTGTGTGCGTGCGTGCCCAAAATCCCGAGAGGAGAATAGAGGAGAAGGGATTGTGGTGTGGCCATCCCCCCTGGGGGGTGATTTCTCGCTTTCTCTCTCTCTGTCTGTCTCTGTCTTTCTGACCAGCGAACGTGCCCTATAGTAAAAACCTCTCAAAACAAAGACTAAATTGCATAGCGGTTATGTCACTGGACTCTCATATAGCTGACCATGGTTTGAGTCCCAGACCCAATGGCTCAAAACCCAAGCTGTGTGTGTGTGTGTGTGTGTGTGTGTGTGTGTGTGCACGCACGCACACATGCACCCAAAATCCTGGAAGGAGAATGGAGAAGGGATTGTGGCGTGGCCATTCCACCTGCAGAGTGACTTCTCACTTTCTCTCTCATTGCCTCTGTCTCTCTCTCTCTAAATGGTGAGCACACGTGCCCTAAGGCAAAAATCTCTAAAAATTTTTTTAATTAAAAAAAAAGAATATATTCAATATTGTCTTCACCTCCTGGAGACAAAAGGGAGCCCCCACCTAAGCATTATGATGCTGAAATTTTGCTAAATGAGCCTTCCATACGGAAGCCCCAGAGTTCTGCGTTTTATTGCGATGGTCATTTCTGGAATAGCAAGACGGAATTGCAGGATGTGGCCGGTTATGACCAGGGTCTGATTCATGTACTACTCAGTGAAAGCAATAACATAAACACTCACAACTGATGCACCGTATAACTGCCATTGGTTTTAGAATGCATCCTGGCACCCATTATCACATTGATTTTCTAATAAACATTTTTTTAAGTCTTTGCAGTAGCTGATGGCCTGCTGTAATTTAGTTGGCTACACTTTTACCCCCTTAGTTGTATTAAAATAATGGCAAACCTTCAATCCATGACAGATTTGATGGACTATGATTTACGTGAATGTTCACGTAACTGATAGCCTGAGAATTCAGTTGGAACCTAAGAGTACATACATATGAATACCTGTCGACACTCAACTCTGATCACAGGCTAAGGGTGCTGACAGTCCCTCCTCCTCCCCCTGCGCCTCCCAGCACTTTGCAGACTTGACTGCATGGTGCAGCCATCAAGGTCCTGTCCCCAGGTGCAGGGAGCGTCTTCGAGGGATACAGCCTCCGTGCTTACGCTGAGCATGCAAAAGCTCTAAATAAAGGCATCCTCTACTGCTCGATATGAATGGGATTGGATCCAGTTGTCTGACTGGGCCCGACAGAAACTAGCAGTAACCTGAGTGGCAGCCAGAAAAGGCCAGGAGAGGCTTGTTTAGAACCATGAGGTGCTCCACAGCTGAAGCTCCGGGCTCTGCCTCCCCTAAAAAACGAATGATCACAGAACGGCTTCGGCCCACAGCCTTCTTCAGCAGACACCGGGTCTGCCTGACCCCCACCTTTGTCTGATCTGTCCTTTTTCAATCCACAGCCCTTCTCCCCAGGGTACCTTATCTCTTTGCCTTGGGCCGGGGCACCCAGAGTTTCCAATTTAGTGGTGCTATAGTGGCCGTGGGCCTTGGGACCTTGAGAAGCTTCCCCAGGTGATTTGAATGCACTTCTACGTTTGGGAGATGGTACAGCCATGGTGATGAGGTGCTAGGGCACTGCCGTGTCATATTGCAGCTGCTTAGGGAAGCCTGGGGTTCAGCTCCTGGGTGGACCTGACATACCCGCTGCGTCTGTGATACTGGCTGGCTGGAGGGCCGGGGGAGGATGTGGCATGGCGGGACCCTGTCGGGGCTCTTCACCTACCCTTCTCTCTCATGAAAAGAAATAAATAGGGACCGGCAGGTGGCGTGGTAGTTAAGGATGCTGGACTCCCACATGGCTGACTGCAGTTCAAGTTCCAGACCGGGCAGCTTGCTTTCTTACTTTTTTCTCTTTCTCTCTTGCTCTGTCCCTCTCTGGTCAACCTAAAATACAGTTAATATAAAATAATTCTTAAAAAAAAAAGTAAGCTCGAGGGACCAGCAGTTAGTGTAATGGCTATGTCGCTGGACTCCCATGTAGTCAACCGCGGTTCGAGTCCCGGACCCGGTGGCTTAAACTCACACCAGGTGCATGTGCGTGCGTGCCCAAGATCCCGAGAGGAGAATGAAGGAGAAGGGATTGTGATGTGGCCATCCCCCCCCGGGGGATGATTTCTCACTTTCTGTCTCTCTGTATCTCTCTGTCTTTCTGGAGAGTACACGTGTCCTATAGCATGAAAAAAACTCTCAAAAAAAAAGAAAAAGAAAAAAAGAATAACCCTGAAAACGGCTTGGGATCAGGGCTGCCTACATCAGAGAAGTCAAGATCACCTGATCCCTTAAAAAAAAAAAGTTCAAGAGACATTACTCATCTCACTTAAAGTGTCACTTTGCAACCGCCTTGGGCAGACACTGGGCAGCATTCTGGAATCTTCCCTCTCCATGTCCCTCTTGAGCTCCTCCCTCTTTCCTCTGCCTAGCCTTGGTTTAAGCCCCATTATTTCTGCTCCAGATCTTGCTTTCTTACCCCTCGCCTGCCTTCCAGGGTCTTATTTTTCTTTAATGTGTAACCATGCTGCTCCAGATGGATTTCTCAGTTTGTGACCTAATTAGGTCTCAATGTAGGGCCCCTCTGGCCAAAACCAACGTTTTTTTGCAGGGCCCATGAGTGTCTTCCTGGCCTGGCTGCTGCCCACTTCCCTGCCCTGGCTGTGCTCCTCCCGCAGAGGCCTAGTGTTCCCAGGGACGTGAACGCTCCAGTTCCCAGAACGCACGCCTCTCGTTTGTCCCTGTATGACCTGGCTCGTGGTTTCCCTCTGCCTCCACCTCTCTTCACTGCGCAGGTCCTCCCTTACCTTCCCAGCAATAGCTTTCCTGAGGCCCTTTCTCCCACTGGCTCATCCTGGTAAGAGGATCCGCCCCTCCTCTTGCATCCTTGGCGCTTCCACGCTGGTCTATGGCAGTCCTGAGCAGGCCTGACCACATCACTACGGTGAGCTCCTTGGGGAGGCTGCCTCACATCGTCCTTCCCATCTTGGGCACAGAAAGAGCCTGGTTCTGTGTTTTATTTATGTAAGTCAGTGACTGCTTTTATGACTGCAGGGTGTACCTAGTAAGTGCTCAGAAAATGCCTCAATTAAAATACTCCAAGTGGGGGACCAGCAGTTGGCATAACGACTATGTCGCTGGATTCCCATGTAGTCAACTGCGGTTCAAGTTCCAGATCCTGTGGCTTAAACTCATGCTGGGCACATGTGTGTGTGCAGCCAAGACCCCGAAAGAATGGAGGAGAAGGGATCACGGCATGGCCATCCCCCCGGGGCGTGATTTCTCGCTTTCTGTCTCTCTGTCTTTCTGGTGAGCGTAAGCACCCTATAGCAAAAAACCTCTCAAAAACAAAAAACCAGAAAACCTCCAAGTGAGCCAGCAGGTGGCGTGGAGGTGGCCCTAGATCCCATTATGACTGATTGTGCAATTTGAGTCCCAGAGCTGGAGGCTTTGGAGATCACGCCATGCACCTGGGCGTGTGTGCACGGGATCCCAAGAGGAGAACAAATGGAGGAAGAAGGATTAAGACGTGGGGTCTGAGGAGGGAGGGCGGTGGCCTCTCTAATGAGTACATGCACTCTATGGCAAAACTAAGGGGAAAGAGAAAGAAAACGAAACACTCCAAGAAAGGGGAGATAAATATGTAAAATAAGATTGGCAAATAACTGATAATTACTGAAGATGAGTGGACACGCAGAGATTCATTCTATACGCTATTTTTGCTTGACAATTTTAATAAAATATAAAAGAATGCTTTGCTTGAAAGGCTGACTTGGATAATAGAAAGAAATGGAAAGTTCCCTCTGCAGCTGAGAGGTGACTGGAGGCTTTTGGGCTCTGAAGAGCAATTTCAGCTCAGTCAGCCTGATTATGGGGATCTTTGTATGGAGAGAGATTCTGACAAGTGAGTGAAGGTTGCATTGCATAACCCCACCAAACCCCTACCTTCTTTATTTCCTTTTTTGTCATGTTTCTTCAACCATTCAATATTTTTTCTGATGGCTTCCAAATAGGCTTCTGTTTTTCCTGGAAAAGATAAGAGCATCCTATCAAAAAACTCATAAAATATCACTCTATCTCTTTTGAAAGACCACACTTATGTTCACAACCATAAAAGAGGGACTTACAGGGCATTTGCAAAGTAATGTGTGTATTCGTGCATGTATATATGGGGGAAGAGGAAGTTCATGGAAATGCAAATTACTAAAAAAAAAAAACCTATACACATGGATTTCAACGTTTTTGCACCAAAATAAATTTCTATTTAAATTCTATTTTTCCCACAAACTTTTTGAAATCTCTTGTATGTGTGTTTGTGTGTGTGTGTGGGGGGGGCAGTTGTAAAGGAGAACAGGTAGGGGTAAGATTCCAGGTAACAGAACCAAGCTGGCAAATGTCAAGGGGCATTACCCTCCCACACAAGTTCATATCAACAGAGAAGAGTTCTGATTGAGTGTACAGGATAGGTGGGTCCCTTCAGGTCTTAAATGGGGTCTTTTCTGCTAAGGATGGTTCTTCCAAACTAAGGAGTACTACCAGGTCAAGGACCAAATCAGAGTGGCAGATCCTCAAAGACTCCACCACTTCAGTTAAAAGTCTAAATTTGGGGCGACCAGCAGATGGCATAATGGTTATGTCACTGGACTGCCATGTAGTCAACTGCAGTTTGAGTCCCAGACACGGTGGCTTGAAATTCAGGCCGGGAGTGTGTGTGTGCGTGCTCAAGATCCGGAAAGGAGAACATAATCCCAGAGGTCATGTGTTTGTACATGAGAGGGAAGAGGAAGGGAGGGGGAGAGAGAGAGAGAGAGATCTTCAGCAGTGGGGCCTGATCACGTCATGGTCCTTTTTCCTCCAATTCTCCACCCCGTCAGGATCCTCAGGATCTGTGCACTGGCCCTGCATGTGACCGCCATCCAGAGCTGGAGTTCGAGTCACAGTCGTTCATGTGGGCCCTGGCTTCTGTGCAGTGCTGAACTGCTGCACTGCAGGGCTGGCCCAAAGCCTGGTTTTGAACCAGAATAAATCTTGAGTCTCTAATGAATGGAGTTGGATCAGATTCACTTTTAGATTACCGGGATTTAGTTACTGTTGTTATAGTTACTAACAAAGCAGTGGTTTTCAAACTTTTTTGCACATTAAAATAACTTAGCAGTGAGACCAATAGGTGGTGTGGTGGTTAAGGTGCTGGACTCCCACATGGCTGACCACAGTTCAAGTCCCAGACCCAGTGGCTTGAAATCATGCCAGGCACGTGTGTATGCATGCCCAAAATTCCAAGAGGAGAATAGAGAAGGAACTGGGTGTGGACATCCACCTGGAGGGTGATTTCTCACTTCCTGTGTCTCTCTGGTGAGTGCACATGCCCTAAGGCAAAACCTCTTAAAAAAAAAAAAAAGAAGAAGAAGGAAAAGAAAAAAACCTCTGCATCTCTAAGTGATTTTGTTTTAGTTTTTTGGTCATAAGAGTACATACCCTCGCTGGAGACAGAGAGAAGCAAAGTGAGAAATCGCACCCCCTGGGGGGCGGGGGCTGGCCACACCCCAGTCCCTTCTCCTTTGGCATACATGCACATGCACCCAGCATGCTTTTCAAGCCACCAGGTCCAGGTCAGCCATGTGGGAATCCAGTGACATAACTGCTACACCATCTGCTGGCCTCCACTTAGCAGAGTTTTTAAACATAATGTTCTGCTCATTCCTCAAACCAATAAAGCCAGAATACATGGGGCATTGACCAAATATTTATAACATGTATTTTGTAACGCTCCCGAGGTGACGGCTATGGGCAGTGAAGGTGGGGAAGCACTGCCGTGTTGAGACCCGCACATTCACTGCAGTGCTGGTAACCACGGGACGACGGCAGGGAGCCGCTGCGCTGGAGACACACAGCTGGCGCCTATTGACGCCTCTCTTCCGGAGCTGAAAGGCCAACCTCTCATGTGCACAGCACGCACTGAATGCCTGTGAGAGTCCGCTTTGGACAGCTGGACTCTTTTCCTTTCCAATTTGTTTCAGCTTCCTTGGAAAAAAATAGCTCATGGCTGAGGTAATACGGCACAAGCCTGGAAACATATGCCGAAGCAGATGGGCAGAGGGCCAGAGTCAGGAGCAGCCCTGCTCCCCGGCTGTTCTGCTTTTAACACTGCGAGAAGAATATTTTTTATGCATGAGTTTGTCCTGACTGTGCTATGCTCTCCTGTCCCTCTCTCCACCAAAGGTGAAGAAATCAATTGTATTAACCTGGGATTACTGGATATACTTAAGATGAATTTTTTTTTTTTAATTAAAAAAGAATAGAGGATCAGTAGATGGTGTAATGGACGTTGGGCTTCCACGTAGTCGACCATGGTTTGAGTCCCTGACCCGGCAGCTGAAAACTCACACCGGGCGCGTGTGCGTGCGTGCCCAAGATCCTGAGAGAAGAATGGAGGAGAAGGGATTGCGGCGTGGCCAGCCCCTCCTGGGGAGTGGGGGGTGATTTCTCACTTTCTGTCTCTCTGTTTCTCTGGTGAGCACAAATGCCCTATAGCAAAAGTCTCTCTCTCAAAAAAAAAAAAATTATGACAGAGGGCACGCCTGAGAGAGAACATTGCCCAGTGGGGCCTGCTCATGCCACAGTCCTTTTTCCTCAGTTCTCCATCCTGCCAGGAGCCTGGGCACCTGCACTCATGTGCAATGTGCTTTCAAACCAACTGGACTGGGACTCGAACCCTATTCAGCCTGGTCCGTGAGATTTGGCTTTCTCTGTGCAACACCTAACCAGTGCACTACAGGGCCAGTCTATAAAGTTATTGCATCTTTTAGAAGAATGTTTATAAACATTAAGTTTAATATAATGCTTAGAATTATGTCAAGATGACGTTGACACTTCTGAACTGCGTAAGGCAAAGAGTGATGCTGATGTCAAGGGTGCCCACATGGGCTGCAGCCCCAACCGACTTGAGACTTCCTGCATGACAGTACCATTTTACAAGCGCACCAGGAGCAGCATGGAATCCTGGAAAGGCCCTGTACTAGGAGTCATGGGAGGTGGGCTCATAGCCCAGCTCCCCCACTCCTGAGCTCTGAGGTCCTGAGTGACTCACTCATCTTCTGGGCCTTGCTTTACTGATTTGCAAACTAAGCATGAACTCTAAAAAGGAGATCCATGGGGGCCAGCAGGTGGTGTGGTGGTTAAGGTGCTGGGCTCCCACATGGGGGACTGCAGCTCGAGTCCTGGACCTGGAGGCTGGCTTTCTCGCCTTCTGTCTGTCTGTTTCTCTGTCTCTCTCTAGTGAGTGGACGTGCCCTGTAGCAAACTGAAGAATAACGATAAAGATAAATAAATGTAAAGAAAAAAAGGGGAGGGGAATGATCCATGGTTTCTACACATGGGAAGAAATTCTCCTCTGCTGTCCTTGAAAGGCACGTATTAAGACGTAGGTTCCCGCGCCTGCGCTTAGCTCCTGACCCACTTGCTGACTCATGGGGAGAAGACTGGTTGCACTATTTAAGGTTATTTCTAGCAAAATGCCTGAGACTTTTTTTTTCCTTTTCTTTTTGGAGAGGTTTTTGCTATAGGGCGCGTGCGCTCGCCAGACAGAGAGAGAGAGACAGAGAGACAGAAAGAGAGAAATCACCCCCCAGGGGGGATGGTCATGCCGCAATCCCTTCTCCTCCATTCTCCTCTCAGGATCTTGGGCACGCACGCACACGCGCCCGGCGTGAGTTTTAAGCCACCGGGTCCGGGACGTGAACCGCGGTCGACTACGTGGGAGTCCAGCAACATAGCCATTACACTAACTGCTGGTCCCCAAAATGCCTGAGACTTATTGGAGGCATACATTTTCATCTCTCGTGTTGCTTAAAAAGTAAGAGCATCTGTAGGAGTTATGTATGGATTTATTAGATAAATAAATAGACTAACTTTTCTGTCTTCTGGGGGAAAAAAGACATGGGACTGATAGGATATTTAAGGTAAAAATTATCACAGAGACACCTTTTTAAACCTGCATCCCATACACTTGACACAGGATAGCACTGGAATGGGTTTGGGTGTCACAGTGCTTATTCATCTTCTGGATGATTTTAAAAAGATTTCCAATGACTCACAGACCAGGAGCGAGGGAGTAAACATCCAATGGCACATAAAGCCAAAGTTAGATCATGGGATGAGTCTAAAAGTACTTTTCTGTGTTCTCCAGGGAAGAATGTACTTGAACTATGAAGCAGTTCTCAAGATACGGTTGGGATTTGTTTGGAAAGGCTCCACGGTGCGAGAAAGAAATCTCTCTCGTGGTTTTCAGGTGGAACGTTCTATCGACGTCTGTTAAGTCCATTTGATTTATGGTAGCATTTAGATCCTTTACCTCTTTACTTATGTTTTGTCTAGATGATCTGTCCGGTGGGGATAGTGGGGTGTTGAGGTCTCTCTCTCCTTTTAGATCTAACAGTCTTTCCTTCACATATTTGGGTGCTCCTGTGTTAGGGGCATAGATATTTATTAGCGTTATAGCCTCTTGATGGATCAGCCCTTTTACTACAATATAGTGCCCTTCTCTGTCTCTTCCAGCAGTGTTTGTTTTAAAGCCTATCTTGTCAGAGGTTAGTATCACTACTCCAGCTTTTTGTTGTTGTCGTTCCTATTTGCATGGAATACCTTTTTCCATGTCTCCACTTGATGTATGACAAGTGACTGTACTCTTTGGCCGAAACAGAATGTTTAAGGGTTATAGGAGCTAAGTAAATGGTTGTGAATACCGGATGCAGTGTGGGAGGAGGGCGGGTGAGGGGGTAGAGTCTGAGGAAGGACATTAAGGAGAAAAATAGAGTGGCAAGGCATTCATGGGATGGAGAAGTGGATTATCATCTATTGAAGATAACTTTCTAGTATGGTGAACTGGACTGGGGAGAAATGTACACATGTTGGAATAGTCACTTTGTAAGCTAAGTATCATGACTGAATGTATAAAAGAAATACAAATAAAAAGAAATAAAAATTTTAAAAAGAATGTATCAATATCAAAAAAAGATATGGTTGGGATTAGAATAAATTATATTTCATTGGCATTTCCCTAAATTTGGGGCTACTTTTTGAATCATTCAGTTAATAACTTACTAATTAGAAACCAACATTTAAAAATATTTCTGGGACCAGCAGTTAGCGCAATGGCTATGCCGTTGAACTCCCATGTGGCTAACCACGGTTCAAGTCCCAGGCTATGCCGTTGAACTCCCATGTGGCCAACCACGGTTCAAGTCCCGGACCCGGTGGCTTGAACTCACGCTGGGCACATGTGTGTACATGCCCAAGATCCCGAGAGGAGAATGGAGGCGAAGGGATTGCAGTGTGGCCATCCCCCCTGGGGGGGTGATTTCTCACTTTCTATCTCTCCGTCTCTCTCTGTCTTTCTGGCGAGCACACGTGTCCTATATCAAAAACTCAAAAAATATTTCTAATGTGAATCCTTCAGAAAATAAAAGTTTATTAAATGCTCTAAGTCAACTATTGGGTTGTCAGAAAAGTCATGACACATTTTTGCATAGAAAAAATACATCATGACTTTCCCTTCCATCCAATACATTCAAAGGTCATTTTCCATCTTTGGTAATTAATTTGGATTTTCTTTTTACATTAAGCCTGAAATGAGAAGCACGCAGACATGCTTTGATAACTGAAGAGTGATGTCAGCGTATGATGACTTATTATGGCTATTATTATTCCTATTCCTATTCCTTTCAGGCCCAGCACCTGTTTGGCATGGTGGATAAAGGTCTGCCGTGTGGACCAGCTGTGGTAGGTTTCACATGCTGACTGATGCTGCTACTCCACAGGCTGAGGCCACATGGGAGGCCTGGGTCTGATGTCCAGCTTGCCCTAAAAGCCAGGTGCCGTGGTGCACACCTGTAACCCCAGCTACTCGGGAGACTGAGGCAGGAAGATTGCAAAAGAGCAAGATCCTGTCTAATAAGAGAAAAAGAAAAAGAAAGAAGGAAGTTGGGATCAGCAGTTGGAGAATGGCTATATTGTTGGACTCCCATGTACTCAACCGTGGTTCGAGTCCCAGACCTGGTGGCTTCAACTCATGCCAGGCGCGTGTGTGTGTGTGCCCAAGATCCCGAGAGGAGAATGGAGAAGAAAGGATTGTGGCATGGCCATCCCCCCTGGGGGGTGATTTCTCGCTTTCTGTCTCCCTCTCTCTCTCTGTCTTCCTGGTGAGTGCACATGCCCTATAGCAAAAACCTCTCCAAATAAAATAAGGAAGTCAGAAAGAGAAAGAAAAGACAGAAACATTTGCTGTGGTTACATGCGTTGCAAGGCCTCACGTTGCAAGTCCAGAACACTCTCTACAGATACTCCTGCCAGTGTGCCCTGCTTAGAATTGTTTCCTTGAGTGGTTTTAGCTAGGCCATTATCTCATCTTTTCTTCTGCTCTGTAATGCCCTCCAGCATTCTCTCCCGGAGGGGGCCTGTTCTGAGGAGCCTGCTTATCAGTACGTGGGATGGGCGTGCGTGCTGTTCTTGCCCTCACGTAGGACAGACACTGCTCTCAGGTCACTTCAGAGCTTGCTCGAGTCCTCACAACCTGTAAGTGGGCTTAGCAGTCCTTTCTAAATTAAGAGCCGTACCATGAACGTGGTCAGCCCCTGTGGTCTCTTGTGATATTATAGTAAGGAACAAGCAGAGTCCAACTATTTATGGCCACTAGTGGTTTTATTAGGTTGTCGGAAAAGCCATGATGCAATTTTGCATAGAGAAATACATCATGGGGGCTGGCAGGTGGCGTGATGGTTGGGGGCACTGGACTCCCACATGGCCAACCACAGTTTGAATCCCAAACCTGGCAGCTTGCTTTCTCACTTTCCCTCTCTTTCTCTCTCTCTCACTCCCTCACTCTGTTCCTCTCTGGTTAAACTAAAATAAATATATACATACATAAAATAAAGTTCAATAAAATAATTCTTGAAAAAGAAAAGAAATATGTCATGACTTTTCTGATGACCCAGTCCATAATAACTAAAGAAAAGAGCTCGGGACCAGCAGATGGTATAATGATCACGTTGCTGGACTCCCACATAGTCAACCACAGTTCCAGTCCTGGGCCCAGCGGCTTAAAACTCATGCTGGCGCACGTGTGTGTGTGTGTGTGCCCAAAATCCCGAGAGGAGAATGGAGGAGAAGGGGTTACAGTGTAGCCATACCCCCTGGGGGTGATATCTTGCTTTCTGTTTCTCTTTCTGAAAGCACACACACCCTATAGCAAAAATCTCTCTCTAAAAAAAAAAGAGAGAGAGAGAAAATTCAATAATGCATTTGCAAATGATAAATTAGCTGGGTGTCCCCACTTTTCCTCAAAAAAAGGTATTTAAAGGGGACCAGCAGTTAGCGTAATGGCTGGACTCCCACATAGTAAACTGCAGTTCGAGTCCCGGACCCGGTGGCTTAAAACTCACGCCGGGTGCGTGTGTGTGCGTGCCCAAGATCCTGAGAGGAGAATGGAGGAGAAAGGATTGCGGTGTGACCATCCCCCCTGGGGGGTGATTTCTCGCTTTCTGTCTCTATGTCTCTGTCTGTCTGTCTGGCGAGTGCACGCGCCCTATAGCGAAAACCTCTCCAAAAAAGAAAAAGAAAAAACTCACACCAGGCGCGTGTGCGTGCGTCCCCAAGATCCCGAGAGGAGAATGGAGGAGAAGGGACTGCAGGTGGCCATCCCCCCTGGGGGGTGATTTCTTGCTTTCTGTCTCTCTGTTTCTCTCTGTCTGGCGAGCGCACACGCCCTACAGCAAAAAACCTCTCCAAAAAAAGAAAAAGGTATTTAACTATTTCCTCAGCTCCCAGGGAATAAAAGTTCCATATGAACCTACTAATAAGTCAATGATAAAACATAAGTAGAATTCCAATTATATCATTTATCTTAATGACAAAAAAGTAAGATAGGTTCAGGTCATCTGTTCAAAGCTTCTCCTGAAGACACTGAGTTTCAGAAAAAGAATATCTACCTACCTGAGACACAGGGTGTAAGTTTTCCATACTATAACTAGCACAACTTTGTAGAACAACATAGAACTTACAAACCTCATTGAGCCTTTTTCTCTTTAGGGTCTGCTAAACCTTCTGAAATCCTAGGATGATGTAAATGTTATAGTGTACAGATGTTTTTGCACTATGTAAGGAAATGTGATATATTGGTTTTGTGACTTTTATCAAAACCTTAAGAAAATTCCCTTTGTTAAACATACACATTTTCATGACCTTGTGAATAAGTAGAATGTGACTATTTAGAGGACTATTAAGTAAGTGCAAAGAAATACTGCTCAACAGATTTACAAGATTATACATTGGATATAAACAATGTATGAATGGTCCTGAATATCCCTCCTCAAGCACAAAAGTCTATGGACACTAAAGAGCATCAAAGGATGAAACCAATTCACCATTCCAGGAGGCTCAAGATCATTAAAAAAGGTTGTTATTCAGGGCCAGTGGGTGGCATAGTGGTCAAAGGTACTGGACTCCCATGCAACTGACAGCTGTTCAAGTTCCAGACTCAGCAGCTTAAAGCTCACGCATTGGCATATGTGCATGCATGTTCAAAATCCTGAGTGGCAAGGCCATCCCCTCTGGGAGATGACTTCTCACTTTGTCTCTCCAGCAAGCACGTGTGCCCTATAGCAAAACCCTCTAAGGAAAAAAAAAAAAAGGTTGTTCAAGTGAAGAGCGCACACGCCAAATCTTTTCCATCCAGATCCTGCTTATTTCTCAGGTGTGGAAGGGCTGTTTTGGATCTCCTACCTTGTGAAACTGCCCCAGTTTCATTCCAACCTGGAGTTCCCAATGCTATACCTGGGTGTTCCTCTGTCTTTCCTCCTGGGTTGGAGTTATCATCTTTCGTGGAATCCTTCAAGATTCCATATTCCTTCTCCATCTTAGCAGCTTCCTCCTTGGTACTGTCTGTTTCTTCGTGACTCTTCTCTAATGGCACTGTAATCAGATTGTACACTGTGGTTAGAACCCCATTTCCCATCTATTAATTCACTCCGAATGGAGAAATGAATTTATTGACAAGGTACAGTTTGAAGTCAGATCATTTTTTGGCCCAAAAGGAAATTTGGTGATTATCTTGTCTCTTTATCCTTACTTTACAGAAGAAGAAACTGAGGCCCAGGGAAGGAAGAGATATGCCTAAGATTACCTGCTAAGGTAATGGAAGAGCTGAGGTGGGCCAACCCTGGTGTCTGGATTTAGCTTAGCTTTCTTTCAGCCACACGGGGTCATTAGGTAGATTATTCATTTTACTTTAGTCAGTGTAGGAAACCAAGTGGGTATGACAGGTCGGAAAGTAAACTCGGTGGGTCTTGATTTCCAACAAAAATAACTCTATGCTGTCCAATCTCTCCTTGATGTTGTGTTTGTGAAGAATGGTCTATCACTCAGAGTAACACCGGACAATTTGCGGCTATACCAGACTTCTCTCCCTCTGCCCTTCTTTTTTAAGAAAATATTTATTTATTTAACTTTATTTATTATTATTATTACTATTTTAATTTGCTATAGGGCACATATGGTCACCAAAGAAAGATGGAGGTGGGAGGAGTGAGAAAGCAAGCTGCCATCAGGTCCAGGACTCGAAGGGCGGTTGGCCTAACCACCACGCCATCTGCTGGCTCCCTTCTGTTCTTTGTACAGTTCCTTGCCCTGGTCATCCTACTATGAAGAACAGACTTGAACTCTTGTTAAAAGGGCTAACTCTTGTCAACTTCTTACTTAAAAATAACAAGCAATTCTATGTTGAACTAAAAATTATAAACCTGAAAGTTGGTAACCACTTGAAAACAATGATCAATGAAATAGGAATCTCAAAGAGTTTCATAACAAAAACAAATTTTTTAAATAAAATGTTCTGTGAGGCTAGGAGGTGGCATGGTGGTTAATGAGCTGGACTCCCACACGGCCAGCCACCGTTGGAGCCCCAGACCCAGCAGCTTGAAAATCACATTGGGCAAATGTACATGCATGCCCAAAATCCTTGCTTTCTGTTTCTCTTCTCTGAAAGTGCACACACCCTATAGCAAAAATATCTCTCTTAAAAAAAAGAGACTGGAGGAGAAGGGATTGTGAGGGGGCCATCCCCTGTAGAGGGTGATTTTCCTCTCTTTATCTCTTTCTAGTGAGCACAAGTGCCCTATGGCAAAAACCTACCAAAAAAAAAAAAAAAATCTTATAAAACAAATAGGAGGGACCAGCAGTTAGCGTAATGGCTATGTCCCTGGACTCCCATGTAGTCGACTGCAGTTCACGTCCCAGATCCGGTGGCATAAAACTCACACCGGGCGGGTGTGCGTGCGTGCCCAAGATCCCGAGAGGAGAATGGAGGAGAAGGGATTGCGGTGTGGCCATTCCCTCCTGGGGGTTATTTTTTGATTTTCTGTCTCTCTGTCTCTCTGTCTGTCTGGCGAGTACACGCACCCTTATAGCAAAAAAAATAATAAATAAATAAGAAAGAAGAAAGAAACCAATTATTGTTTCATGTAAAACACCCACTGTGGTATAGATCTTGATGCATGCTTTTTTTTCTCATGGTCGTGGTATGATTTTATTCTTTGCTTTTATCATTAACATCATCATGGAAAAATGTTTTCAGTTTATTAAAAATGGCTTGAAAATATCTTTTTAAATGGCTATCCATGGGCCAGCAGATGGTGTGGTGGGTAAGGCACTGGACTCCCACATGGCCGACCGTAGTTCGAGTCTCAGACCTGATGGCTTATTACTTTCTCAATTTCCTTCTCTTTCTCTCTCTCTCTCTCTGGTGAGTGCATGTGCCCTATAGCAAATTATAATTAATAATAATAAATAAAATTAAATAAATAATTCTCTCTCAAAAAAAACAGCTATCCATTACACCTTGAAGAACATGTCCATAATTTCTGCAATAAGCTGAACAATTAAAGAGCTAAAATCTGCAGTCTTCTCTTGGTCTCACCCTCCCCACTGTAAGGAGACCGTTGCACAGCTCAGCTCCGTGCTGTCTGCTGTACTGATCAGGGTGATGCATGGAGATGCAGAACTGCAGAAACCAAGGGGGGGGTGTCATACGACTTTGGGGCACAGAACCTCTCAGAGCAGGTGATGACCTTGGTGGGGCACAGCAGGAAGTAGACAGATGACCAGGGAAAGTAGTCTGGAGAGGTGGTGATCAGGGGAGGGAAAAACAATACCTAGAGGAGATTTTAAGGAAGGATCGCTGGCTTGTGATGTAGCCGCTTTCTTTCTCACCAGTAAGTTGCTATGACCCTTCAGTAAAGAGTGACATTGCTCCGTTATTCTTTTCAGGGCCCGCTTTCTGTGTGGCGATTAGGCACCAAATAGCTAAGGGTTCATCTACTTAACCCTATGATTCAGTTTCAGGTTTTAAAACTTTTTGTAATCTGTAATTCTTTATTAATGTTTTTTGGAAGTTCTTCAGTAACCACTCAAGAACAAGTTACTCTTTGAAAAGCTTGAAAAAATCGTTAACTAGAACATACCTGGGGAAAGTTTGCTTTTATTGTCAGTAGCATTTTTTTCTAGCTTGTTCTTGGTCTGAAGAGCAATCATTTCATCCAAGTTTTCTGGAAGAAGGAAGAGAAGAAACATCATTGTATTTCCTCACAGATGATATCCAACTTCTACTAAAGGTTTGTAAATATCATGATAACAATTTGGAAGTTCTTCAGTAACCACTCAAGAACAAGTTACTCTGAAAAGCTCGAAAAAATCGTTAACTAGAACATACCTGGGGAAAGTTTGCTTTTATTGTCAGTAGCATTTTTTTCTAGCTTGTTCTTGGTCTGAAGAGCAATCATTTCATCCAAGTTTTCTGGAAGAAGGAAGAGAAGAAACATCATTGTATTTCCTCACAGATGATATCCAACTTCTACTAAAGGTTTGTAAATATCATGATAACAATTCCAAAATAATAGCCGTATTAGGAACATGCTTTGGCTTGACTTTTGCCTAACGGCAGTGGTATGCTGCTAAGACACTGTTCTGTAGGCTCCGGGCACACGGGAGGCCCAGGTTCGATCCTAAATGCATATATATACATGCGCCATAAAGCACTGTGTGCAATTTGAGCCCACTTTTGTTAAATTAGATGAAAGAAAGGAACGACATAGATATGTACATGCACACCATACAGAGAAAAACATTTGGAAGGAGATAAGCCAAGGTCTGGCCCATGGCTTAGTGCTTAAGGAAGCCAGATCCCAAGTGGCTAACCACAGTTCAAATCCTGGCTCCAGTGGTTCGAAAAACATACTGGGCATGTATGAGTATGCACCCCAAATCTGACAGGATGGAGAAAGAGAGGAAAAGAGATTGCAGTGTGACCATTCCCCATTGGAAGCTGTTCCCCCTGATCCCATCACTCTGTCTCTCTTTAGAAAGTGCATGTACTCTATAGCAACTAAAAAAAAAGTGGGGTGTGTGTGTGGGGGGGGACCAGCAGAGAGCATAATTGTTACGTCGCTGGACTCCCACGTAGTCTACTGCAGTTCAAGTCTTGGACCTGGTGGCTTAAAACTCACACCAGGCACATGTGCATGTGTGCTCAAGATCCTGAGAGAATAGAGACGGGATTGTGGTGTGGCCATCTCCTCCAGGGGCTAATTTCTCGCGTTCTGTCGCTCTCTTTGTTTCACCAGCGAGGGCACATGCCCTATAGCAAAAATCTCTCAAAAAAAAGTATATAAGCCAAAATGTAACCAGGATGTTGCTATTGTGAGCAATTTTCACTTCCTTTTGAATATATTTTGGATTTTTTAAAAATAGGATAATTCTGGATTACACTAGCCTATGAGATTTCCTCTTCTGTTTAATTCTTTCTTCCCTAGCAGAGTAGGAGGCCAAAGCCATCTTACCCAAATTATATGAGGAATGAATGCTATTTGTTGATTATCTAAATTAATCAGGAAAACAAAATTTTTTTAAAACAAAGACATGAGCCCTTGCAATGTGCCTATTGCAATCGAGAAACTACATTTTGTTTGATTTAATTTAAATAAAAAACAATGCAATCCTACATGTAAAAGTAAAGAATGTGTCCTAGAAAAGCTTATTGGTTAAAATACTATGTCCTTTAAATCATGTTTATAGTTGAAGTAATTATTTAGCATTTTAAGTCTCCTTATTCGCAAATAACTGTTTCACAAATGTAATGAAACAAGTATTACTATCCTCTGGAAAAAGAGGATTTTTCCTTTATAATGGATCATTTGTGTAACTCAGCAGTAAGTCAAAAGTCTAGCAGGTCTCTATCCATGTTTATAAAATTTTGTGAGATGTATAATCTCAAGGAATTTAATTAAAAAATGCAATGAACAGCAAAAAAAAAAAAAAATAAGTAAAGAATGTCCAAGTTTATCTATAAAGTTCAGTGAATCAGAGGTTGACAAACTTTTTGTAAAGGGCCAATAGTAAATACGTCTGGTTTTGCAAGACATACATAGTCTCTGTTGCAACTGAACTCCGCTGTCATAGCACGAGACAGCAATAGACAATGTTAAAACAAACGAGCATGGCCATGTCCCAATAAAACTTTATTTATGCGTGCATGCCCAAGATCCCAAGAAGAGAATGGAGGAGAAGGGCTATGGTGTGTCCATCCCCCCTGGGGGTGATTTCTCACTTTCCGTCTCTCTGTCTCTGTCTTTCTGGCGAGCGCACATGCCCTATAGCAAAAACCTCTCCAAAAAAAAAGCCAAAAAACTTTATTTATGAATGCTGAAGTATGAATTTTACATAGTTTTCATGTGTCCCAAAATCCTATTCTTTTGATTTTCTTTTTAATCATTTAAAATGTAAAAGCCATTCTAAGCTTGTGTACTATCTAAAAATAGTGATGGGCTAGATTTGGTTCTTGGGCAGCTTTTATTATAGAGAGCAGAGTCCTTCACTTTATATTTGCAGAAGTCGAGGGCCAGAAAGTGCAATGCCTTCCCCAGCGTGGCAGGCTGGTGTGTGCCAGGGCTGGGACCAGGAGCCTGGGCTTTTGATGCCCAGGCCAGTCCATCAAAAGCCACACACAAACCTCAGAGTGGAAAATCTAGACTCAGACCCACCCTTCTAAAGACAATCGAAAATATCTCTGAGTCAAATTTTAGTAAAATCTCCATGGAGATTATTAGAAAATTATTTTTAAAAAATAAGTATTTATTTAATGTTTTTATTGTTCTTAATCAATTTGACCAGAAAGAGACAGAGGGAGAGAGAGAGAGAAAGGAAGTTGCCAGGTTTGGGACTTGAACTGCAGTCGGCCCTGTGAGAGTCTAGCGTCTTGATCACCTGCTGGCCCCAGAAAATTCTAATTAATTATAATAAATGTGAAATCTTTATACTCAAATTGGATCTATAAGGGGCTGAAAAAGTTCTAGTTAATTTTATTCGTATGAATTATGCATCAAATGGAGCAATTCTGGACACCCAGATGATTTGAGCTGTATTGGCATACATGATCAAATCCGTGAAGTAATTGTTACCAAATCTTTAGTTTACTTTTTTTTTTTCTAAGTTTTGCTATAGGGTACCTGTGCTCACCAGAAAGAGAGAGAGAGAGAGAAAGTGAGAAATCCACTCCCCTTCTCTCAGGGGGGTATGGCCACACTGGAATCCCTTCTCTTTCATTTTCCTCTCTGGAATTTGGGTATGCATGTGTGCACATATGGCGTAATTTTCAGGCCACCAGGATAGGACTCAAACCACTCTGTTGGCCACGTGGGACCCAGGGCCTTAACCACTGTGACACCTGCTGGCCCTCCAATTTACTTTTAATAGTGACCCACCACAGTACAAACGAAATAGGCCTCTCACCAAGGTAGGAGACACCTTCCTCCGGAGTTATCGTACCGTACTTCACCATCATCTTCACAAAGTCAATCAGCGTTTTCATGATGGTAATCAGTGTTTCTTTCTCTTTTGCCTCTTTTTCTACATAAAAAAGACAACATGATTTAAAGAAAAATAGCAGAGTGCAGCTTCACCTTTCAATGTTAATTTTTTTTTTTACATTTTTTTTGTGAGTGTTTTGCTCTAGGATGTGTGCGCTCACCAGAAAGACAGAGACAGAGAGACAGAAGGCGAGAAATCACTTCCCGGGGGAGATGGCCATGTTGCAATCCTCTCTCCTTTATTCTCCTCTTGGGCATGCACGCACATACACCTGATGTGAGTTTAAGCCACTGGGTCTGGGACTCGAACCACGGTTGACTACATGGGAGTCCAGCGACATACCCATTATGCTAACTGCTGGTCCCATCAATGTTAATTTATAAAGTATAATATCACTTTTTTAAAAAATTATTTATTTATTATTCTTACTTTAAAAAAAAATTATATAGGGCATGTGCACTCAGTAGAGAGAGACAGAAAGAGAGAAAGAGGGAGGTTGAGAAAGAGTAAGCCACCAGATCTGAGACTCAAACCAGGGCTAGCAGGTGGGAGTCCAGCATCTTAATCACCATGCTACCTACCAGCCCCTACAGTGGCATCGTTAAAATACCCCATAAGGGATTTAGCAGGTGGTGTGATGGTTAAAGAGACTAGACTCCCACATGGCCAACTGGGATTCAAGTCTTGAACCTGGTAGTTTGCTCGCTTGCTCTCCCTCTCTCTCTCATTGGTCAAAAAAACTGAAAAATGATGATAATAAATAAATAATTCTAAAAAAAAATACCGCATAAGTCACAAGGTTGGGGAGGATGAAAGGTGGAAAAAGACCTGGTAAACAGTAACTTCAGCCTTCACATTATTTGCTCAAGGTCACATTGTATAAATATTTGATATCCCGCTGATGCTCTTTACTGATGAGAAGTGACTCACCAGGATGACACAGGTTCTGAACTGGGCATCTGCCAACCATGGGGCAGGATGGCTCAGAATGGACCTTCAAGACATCCAAGCCTAAGGGGCTGGTGCCATCTGGCCAGTATCTGGAATTTAAGGACCAACGATGTTCTCCAGAAATGAAAGATTACTCTAAGGTCATTTCTTCTGGAAATAGTTACAATGACAGAGATCTTTATAACAGACGTTCAATCTGAGTCTGAATCTTTACACAAGGAGAGGAAAAGACATTAGGGCAGTAACAATAACAAGACTGGTGCCCGCAATTATCTTCCTTGCAGATGGACCCCAAATAAACACCAACTGCAATCCTCAGTCAACTCAGTGCACATGTGAGAGAAAAGACCAGGATACAGTAAGGACTTTGCTTTCAAGACATCAAATCATTTCCCAAGTGTGTTTTGGACACCTGGCTTCCTTTAGTTCCAACGCTCTTCATTTTATCTAATTTGAAGGTTAAAGCCAAAAATACTGATGAAGCAATGTCTCAAATAACGTAAAATCAGAAAAATTAGGTTCCACGTGTTGTTCCCACTGAGACAGAAAATGGAAGAACCTCTTAAGTAAAGATTTACCTCAACTGATAGGATGTCTTTCCTGGTTTTTCGTTTTGTTTTACTTTCCTTTCCTTTGCTTTTTTTTTTTTTTTTGTAATAATGTCAAAGAAACTAGACAACACACTAAATGAAATAATCCGGCACAGAAAGACAAACACCATATGACCTCATCTACGTGTGGAATTTAAATAGTCACATCATGGAAGTAGAGAGTAGCATAGAGGTGGCCAAGGCTGGGGGGACGATGAGGTGGGGAGATACTGTTCAAAGGACAGAAAACGTCAGTGACACGAGGTGAGTAAATTCAGGAAAATGCACAGCACGATGCCTATAGTTAGCAATATCATACTGGATATTTAAAATTTACTGAAAGGGTAGGTCTTCAGTGTTCTGTTCCTCCCTCCCTCCCTCCCTCCCTCCCTCTTTCTTTATTTCCCTCTCTCTCTCTCTCTTTCTTTCTTTTTCTTTTTTAGAGAGATTTTTACTATAGGGCACATGCATCCACTGGAGAGATACAGACAACCAGAGAGACAGAAAGTGAAAGATCACCCCAGGGGTGATGGCCACAGCACACTTCCTTCTCCTCCATTCTCCTCTCAGGATTTTGGACACATGTGAACACACGCCCAATGTGAATCTCAAGCCACCGGGTCCAGGACGTGAACCACAGTCGACCATGTGGGAGTCCAGCCACATAACCACTACACCATCAGCTCGTCCTAGTCTTAAGTGTTCTTAACACACAAGCATGCACACATCCACATGCATATGCACACCAAAGAAAAGAAGAAAAAGGAATGGTCCCCGTGTGAGGTGAAGGATTTATTACTTTGCTTGATTGTAGGGATCGTTTCACAATTGTATATATATATTTAAAATATCAAGTTGTAAACCTTAAATGTATACATTATTTTGGTCAATTATATCTCAATAAAACTGAGGAGGAAAAAAAAAAAAAAAAGAACTGCAATGAGAGTTGAGTCTGAACCCAGACAGTGGCGTGGTGGTTAGGGCATCTGAATACCACAAAGCTGACTACACGGGTTTGAGTCTCAGACCCAGGGGCTTAAGGAACATGCTGGGTGCATGTGTGTGTGTGCACAAAATCCCGAGAGGAGAATGGAGGAAAAGGGATCGCAGCGTGGCCAACCCCCTGGTGGGGCTGCTTCTTGCTTTCCTTCTCTCTGTGTCTCTGTAGTAAGTACACATGCCCTCTAGAAAATTTAAAAAAATTAAAAAAAGAACTGCATCTGAACTAGAGCCGTGCCAGTGCAGGGATACTGTCTGACTCATTTCCATCATATTTGCACAAGGTCCCTCCCAGCTTTGTACATAGCACATGTTCAATGACTGTTTGTTAAACAAATACACGAACCCTTTGTTAATGGTAAGATTCAATTATCCAGTACTGTCACCTTTCCGGATTACCCTTTCCTCAATATTTCCACGACTATTTCAGAAAAAGATAAACATTGGTGTGAACTGTTTTCCCCACACCTAGGCGTAGGTCATTGAGGATTACATTTGGAAACTGAAAACAGGAAAAAAAAAAAAAAAACCTACCCACACATTTCCTCAAATTCTGATTTCTGTTCCACATGGTCAGAAAAACAGAGGGATTACCTGAGTCAATACTCTTCAGTAGCGCGTAGAAGTTTGGGAAGTATTGGAGTTCCTCAAAGTCGTCTTCGCTGTAGGTTTTAGTTCTTCTTTCCAAGCCATTCGTCAAGGTTAAGGTGTTAGACACAGTTTCATCTTTGTCCCCATTAGTAAAACCGTCTTGAATTGCTGTCATTGGGGTCTCCAGAGGGGGGAAAAAACGAATCAGTGAAAAATAAGTGTTTTGCCAGAACTAGTGGAATTCCAGCTCAAGTCTTCCCTCTGTGGTGCCCTTGAACGTGGAATACAACAATTCGTCCTCCTTCACAAGCCCCAGAAGGTTCAAACCCCTATCTAGGAACATGCACATCTAATCACAGGGAAAGATCATCAGAACTTAGAGAAGCTCTTCCTCAAGGGGGACCCCCTGAAGACCCTGGCTCCTGTTCTGGGAAGAACAGACAGGGAATTTCCAGATTCCTGCTCTGGCCAACTTCCCTTCCATGAGTTTTCATGAGTTCCTTCTCCCAAAACTGCCTTTCACTGAGGAGGGGAGCTTGGAGTTCGTAGACTACCACAGACGGTGGTGTGAGGATATAGGAAAGCGTGTCAGAATGTCTGACAGAAGCACAGCTGTCACACTTGGGCATGTGTGGGTGACATTTTAAGGGCTGTCTGGATGGGTGCACAGGATTCTTTCCTCCAGACCTCATGTTTGTTCTGGGGTCCATCTTAGTGACGGGTCCGTTCTCCATTCAGTGACCTAGACAGAACCTAAGGGCCTTTCTCACCTCGTCTTCCTCTCCTCCCAGCCACTCCACGGCAGCCTTGCTGGCCCTTCTTTCCCATTTTATGTCAAATATGTACATCTCTCTCTCTCCCCCCTCCCACTCTAGCCCAAGAAGGCTTCACCTCTCACTTGCTGGCACCACCCACCTCCGAGTTCTTCCCTTTGCCTTTTCCACATTGCAGCCAGACTTATCTTTAACAATCTGATTGCCTAAGTCCTTCGCTTAAAACCCTTCATGCTTTCCCGTGGCTCTTACATAAAGATCGGCATCCATTTATGGCTCTCGAGGCTCTGCATGGTCTGGCCCGGGTCCACTCCCCCAGTCTCATCTCTCTGGGGCTCCTTTCTGTGCCAGCCACACCATCCTTGTGGCAGTCACTTCGATGCCCCCACACTTCCTGTTCTAAATGCAGCCTCTCGTGTTCACATGTTCACTCCTATTTGACCGTCAGTTCTCTTCCTCAGGAAGCTCCTCCTGAACCTACACTGGGAACAGGCTCTCTTTTGGGTGTGGTCTCCTAGAACTATGTTCCTTTTCTCAGACCGCTTAATGCGGTTTTAATTAAAATACGTGACTCTCTGAACACTGTCTACCTCTTCCACTAGACCTTAAGCTTCATGGAAGCAGAGATCACATCTTTTTAAGCAAGCATGGTATTCCCAGTGCTGGGTGAGCAGCTTTACTCAATAAATATTTATTGAAAGACTATTTCATTTGCATGGATGCATTCAGATAATATGAGTAAATAGGTCAAGCATATGGACGTGGTGGAGATGGGTAAATAAAGACTAGGATGAGAGTGAAAGATGATGAAAATAACTACGTCAGTTTTGGTTCAGACTAGTAAGCTAGAGTGAAAGTCGTGAGTTCTTGGATAAATCGAGAAAGCTTCCCCCTCCACACCCCCCAGAGTGGGTAGATCTTCAAAAGCTGTTGAAAAAGAGATTGAAGCCAGCAGGGATTGGAAGCCATGAGAGAGAGAAAGAAAAGAAGAGTTTTGGGGCTAATAAAAAATTCCAGACCCTATTTTTATTTTTCTGACTTCTCGAAAATAGAAGCATAAGCTCATAAACTTTTTTCTTTTTTTTGGTATTTAGAATAGGATGTCGGAAAAGATGAGAAGCCATGGTTCTGAGTACTGTGGTGAAGAAAATCAAAGGAGAGGCGAGGAGTTTAATATTCTCTTAGGGTCAGTTTCATTTAAGGTTTTAAAAATCATTTATTTAGAGGACAGCAAGTGGCATGGTGGTTAAGGGTGCTGGACTCCCACATGGCTGACCGTGGTTCGAGTCCCAGACCTGGCAGCTTGCTTTCCCACTTTCTTTCTCTCTCTCCCTCTCTCACAGACTCTGTCCCTCTCTGGGCAAATTTAAATAAATAAATAAATAAAATTTAAACAATTATTTATTTTTATTTATCATCATTATTGTTATTTTTAATACAATAATGCTACTGGGCACATGTGGTCACTCCCATGTGGGAGTCTAGCACCCTAACCACCGTGACACCTGCTGATCCCTCATTTAAGGATTTTTTTTTTAAGAACTATTATTTTTTAAATTTAACTTTATTTATTTATTTATTTATTTATTTAAATTTGACCAGAGAGGGATAGAGCGAGAGAGGGAAAATGAGAAAGCAAGCCACCAGATCCAGGACTCGAACCATGGTTGGTCATGTGGGAGTCCAGTGCTCTTAACCACCATGCCATCTGCCGGTGCCCTCTCGCTTAAGTTTTAAAGTAGCTCGGTGGATACCAAGGAAAACATGGAGGGGCAAGGAGTGCAATGAGGGGAAGGAAGGGTGAACGGCTGGGTTTGGGTAAAGGATGACAGGTAGGTTTCCGAGCCATTGCAAAGAGGAAGAAACAGGTGGATACAGATAGCCAAGAAAGAGGCAGCATCAGGCAACCACTTCTGGGGAACACGAAAGCTGGTGTGGCAGAGGACGAAACCAATTGCTGCTTTTGTATGGTATTGAGAGCAGATGACGACATCCACTGTGGACAGAAATTGGCTATCAAGGGGGCCAGCAGGTGGCTTAGTGGTTAACATAAAAAATGATTAGAACAAAAGAAATTGACTATCAAAAGAGCTGTGAGGTATTTGGCTCTAGTACTAGGACAATACAAATAGTTATTATGTGGTAATGCTAACCTAATATGACGTGTTATTTTACTGTGTGGTATAATATAACACTTACTATTTAGCTGACTATAATATGTAATGTTTAAATTATTTTCAAAGTTAAATTCATTTATACCTTTTAACTAGTTGGTATTTTATAAATATGCATTTTAGTGGGCTAAAAATATCACATTCCTCAAATTATCTATGAAACTAAATAAGATACTAATTATATATATATATTTTTCTTTAAGTATAGCTTTTTATTTTATTTATTTATTTATTTTCCCATTTATTTATTTTGTATTTTTTTATTTTTTATTATCATCATAATCTTCTTTATATTACATTGGATTACATATAACTTTACAGTGTATTACATTGCTTTTTCAAAAGGGAATGCCATGCATGTCAGTCAGTACAGAGACATTAATCTCCCTGCTTCAACATTCAATATCTTTTCTATGTTTTCCCCAATCATTGTTATTATTATTCTAATTACTTTTTAAAACAGTATTTCTCATTTTGCTTGTAAAAATACTTTGCCCATCATAAAATACTCCTCAGACCACTCCAGTTGAGAATACTCTACATGTCATCATCAACAGTTAATAAGCCATATCTGTTTCTCACTAACGTCCTGCCTCTCTATTGTTCACTTGCTATCTTTCTCTATCCTCTTCTTTTCACTTCCCCCTTTCCACACTGTCTTATTCTCATTAACTAATTATATATTGATAGAAGTGCACACACACACATACGCATTCCTCCATGTACATGCATAGACATATATGTAACATACATACCACTTTCTCTGATATTTTTCCAGCCTGATTCTCAGACTTGCTTGTGGGTTTATTGGGCTCCTCCTCATAATTGTTGGCTTCCTTTGAGATTAATTTTTGTAAAACCTCTGCTACTTCATCTTCCAGGGTGTGTGCCTGGCTTTCTGTGATCTGTTATAGAGAGGCAAACATATAGAACTACAATTCCCTTTCTTGTGATTTACAAGGAAGTCTAGATTAAATGCTGTAGTTGTAGTTGAGCACCGTTTTTTGTTTGCTATAAGGGGTGTGCTCTCAGTAGAGACAAAAAAAGAGAGAGAGAAACAGTGAGAGGGAACTGAGAAATAAACCCCCAGAGGGGATGGCTATGCCGCAATGGCTATGCCCTTCTCCATTCTCCTCTCAGGATTTAGGGCACACATGTACACGTGCCAGTGTGATTTTCAAACTACTGGGTCTGGGGCTGCAATTGCCATCAGCCATGTGAGATTCAGCCGCCTTAACTTCCACACCACCTGTTGGCTCTACAGAGCACCCGTTTTTTGAAGAGGAAACTTCTGAACCCTTTCAAGACTCCCTTGCTGTGCTCTACCACATGCCACTGTTACAGCGACGCCCGGCAGTCCTGGGAGGAGTGTCCTGAGCCCACCCAGCAAGCTGTCAGTCCTGTCTGCTGAACACTGACTTTGAGAAACACCCTAAGCATTGCTGCATCACAGCTTCAGGTTATCTTCAGGTTACCTTGGAGGTCCTGCCACCTAGGCCTCTTCCTAAAGCCGGCCGGGGCTACATGAGGGCTGAGGAGCCAAGCTGAGGAGGGCTCAGATTGGATTGCTTGGAGTTGCAGTTTCTCAAACACACATCATACACTTTTGTGGAATGTATTACATTTCCCTTTTGCCACACACGTCTTTCATATCTGCTGATTCTATCCTACCCATCCTTCAAACACTTCTTCCTCTGAAGGCTTTTCTTACTGCGGATAGACATAGCCATTCTCTGGCATGCTGAACTGCTGTTACAGTTCTTAAGTACCTCTCATTTCAGATATGTATGTACTTGTCCAGTTCTTCTGATAGACTATAAACTCCTAATGGGAAAGAACGGTGCTTTACTTGCTCTCAAAATGTAAGGTATATGGGGCTGGCAGGTGGTGTGGTGGTTAAGGGCGCTGGACTCCCACGTGGCTAACTGCAGTTTGAGTCCCAGACCTGACAGCTTGTTTATTCACTTAACCTCACTTTTGCTCTGTCCCTCTCTGGTCAAATTTTAAAAATAAATATATAAAAGAATTCTTTGCCAAAAAAACCCCCCTGTGGTTCCTGTATTATAAACCCTTGGTAGGGCCAGCAAGCAGGTGGCATGGTGGTTAAGATGCTGGACTCCCATGTGGTTTACTGAGGTTCGAGACCTGGACCTGGTGGCTTGTAACTCATGCCAGGTGCGTTTGCATGTATGCCCAAAACCCCAAGAAGAGAACGGAGGAGAAGAAATTGTGGTGTGGCCATTCCCCTTGCGGGTGACTTTTCACTTTCTGTCTCTCTGGCAAGAGCATGTGCCTTATAGTTAAAATCGCTTAAAAAATTAATAAAAATAAACCCTGGCTGCTTGAATCGAGTGGCATAGCTTCTTGGACATGCTCCAAGCTATACTGAGAAGTCAGCTTACTCTCATGCATGTGACTTACGAGACCAAGATTCAGCAGTTTAGAAACAATCTTGTCGAACACTCCTCTGTCATTTTCCTCATAAATCCTGGTGGCGATTTTATGGACAATGTCTTCAGCAGTTAAAGGTGTCCCATCGAGTTGATGCAGGCCATCTGGGTCATCTAACAGAGCAACCACAATTTCACATCATGGTGATCACAGACCTATTCATAATCATACAGTACTGACAATCTCTACTTTGCATAGATACATTCAGATGTTTGGGATATATTCATGATAGACTTTTGGTTTGAGATAAAACTAGACTTCAAATTAAGAACCTAGGATGATCAGGGACCAACAGTTAGCGTAATGACTATGTCACTGGACTCCCATGTAGTCGACCACGGTTCAAGTCCCGGACCCAGCAGCTTAAACTCATGCCAGGCGCATATGCATTCATGCCCAAGATCCTGAGAGGAGAATGGAGGAGAAGGGATTGCGGCATGGCCATCCCCCCCTGGGGGGTGATTTTTCGCTTTTTGTCTCTCTGTCTCTCTCTGTCTTTCTGATGAGAGCACATGCCCTGTAGCAAAAACCTCTCCAAAAAAAGAAAAAAAAGAAAAAAAAGAACCTTGGATGATCAGGGCCAGCACGTGGCATTGTGGTTAAGGCATTGGACTCCCACATGGCAAACAGCAGTTCAAGTCTTGTACCCAGCACCTTGAAAATCACACTGGGCACATGTACACGGTGTCCAAAATATCAAGAGAATGGAGGGGAGGGAAGAAATTGTGGCATGGCCATTCCCCTGGGGGTGAGTGCTCATTTTGCCTCTCTCTGTCTCTTTACAGTGAGCACATGTGCCTTATGGCAAAACAAACAAACAAACAAACAACAACAACAAAAAAAAAACCTAGGATGATAATGGAAATTCTGAAAGTATTTTAGTGACTTTCAGAGAAAGAGCTAAAGACACTACAAAAGACTTTGCTAGTTATTATCATCACAAATACTACAAACAATATTATACTATTTCTTTGAATAATGTACTATATTTATATAGCATGGCATATTATTCAAAGCACTCTTGTATTAGGTTATCAGGAAAGTCATGCATATTTTTCATTTTTCTATGCAAAAAAATGCATCATGGTGACCAGCAGATGGTATAATGGTTACATTGCTGGACTCCCACATAGCTGACCATGGTTCGAGTCCTGGATCCAGCTGCTTAAAACTCACGCCAGGCACGTGTGCATGTATGCCCAAAATCTCAAGAAGAGAATAGAGAAAAAAGGATTGTGGTGTAGTCATCCCTCCTAGGGGGTGATCTCTCACTTTCTGTCTTTCTGTCTCTTTGGTGAGTGCACATGCCCTGTACAAAAATCTCTCTTAAAAAGAAAAATGTGCCATGACTTTCCTGATGATTTAATATATAATTTTATATTCCATTTTCACATAGGGAGTAGATTGGTAACATCCTCCCATATACCCTCGTCACAGTCAAACTCCTGGGTTAGGAGTGGGAGAACTTGCCTCACACCTAGAATTCAGGAGAGAGTGTACTGAAGATGTTATGAGTTACCTGGAATAAATATTTACTTGTAACTGAATGTGTCAGAGTATCTTTATGTAAGGCAATGTAATGTGACAAGCTCTATTCTTCATAGAATAGGGAACTTGTTTTATTTATATGCCAGGAATTCACATTTTTAAAATGTAGAAGCAGGTCTGCACGAAGAAATATGTAAATCATTGCGGAGAGGCATGCAAATGTGTATTCTTGGCTTCCCTGGGAATATATCTGGCAACGTTACTTCAGACTGAAGCAAGAACCCGTCCTGAGGGAAAAAGTTAGTGACAAGGAAGCACTGCACCAATCTACTGAGAACCTCCAGGAATCAATCAGCCTTCCCCAATCTAGCCACACTGAACGGTTCAAGTGTACAGGCACTTAACTCCCTGTTTTAAAGATAATAAGGGTATCTATTTCATAGGATTGTTATGAGGATCAGATGAAATAAGAGGCAAAACCTTTTAATGGTAAAGTACTTTAGGAAAGCTAATATACTAATGTTATTATATACAGTGGATTTGTTCATATTTTGGGGGAAAAAAAAAGGAACTGCAATTATTTTCTAGAGAAAATGGAAATTGAATGCCTGGCCAGATTCTGCTCAAATCATGCTCATCATTGTCTCTTAAAACAAAGCAAAACAAAACAAACAAATAAGCAAGAGAAAACCCAAATATGTCTATGCTGATTCTGCCCTTTTCTTCCTTGGTTTTTGAGGATTCAGATAAGGGGTTTCTACTCTGGCCTTTCCCCCAGATTCTGCAGAGGGAGATGCATGCATTTGCCATTAGAATGTCTTCTTGTTTGGAAAGAAGCTTGGGAAAATGAGTGGGGTGATTATACAAAGAGAACGGAAATTCTCTGTCAATGCATAATTGCTGAGCTGTTGGCCAACCCATGAGCTGTGAGCCCCTTTAGCTCTGAGTACCAGAGACTAAAGTCAGAAAAATACCTAAGGAAAACTCCTCACAAAATCAGCCCCCAGCCCCCAGCTGGCTGAATACTGGGCTCATCATCTATTTTCCAGGAGCAGAGACTCGCTATCATCTAGGTTTGATTTTTCCATTTGTGGGTTGCAAGACAGGCTCTTGGGAGTATGCAGAGAAGAAACTACCCTGGTCTATGCAGAGGTGGAAGAATTTATTTCCCTTCTCATCCCTCAGGATCTGAAAAAGGAAGAGTATTGGTTGCCTGCTAGTGCTGGAAAATAACTGAGTGGACTGTTTTTCAGCTCATTTACCTCACAACGGGAGAATGTTAGTAACCTGCAGGAGAGAGAGCCTCTTTTCTCTGACTTCCCTACTGTTCATGAAGGGGGTCTTCCACCCTGTCTGTATGAACCGAAGCCAAAGGTACTTTCCACATTTATAACTTCTGTTGAAGAGCCACAATATTCTGAGTGAATTTCAAAAGGCTGTGTCCCAAGATATCTCTCCAGCTCTAACATGGCACTGTGCATTCATTTGGTCAAAACATTTTTTAAAATTATATTCATTATTATTATTTAATTTGACTAGAGAAAGAGGGAAAGTAAGAAAGCAAGCCTCCAGGTTTGGGACTCGAACCAACATCAGCCATGTGGGAGTCTGGCACCTTAACCACTGTGCCCCTTGCTGGCCCCTGTTGAATACATTTTTATTGAAGTCTTACTATGTGCCAGAGACTGGAAATAGTGACGAACAGGTTAGGAATCGTCCCTGACTGTACACGGCTCTTTGTCTAGTTCATACTCAAATACATGGTCAGTACTCAGTAAGTATTTGCCCCAAAGCACTACTTAATAAAAGAAACTTGGAAAACAAACAAACAAACAAACAAAAAAACAAAGAACAACCTAAGTAATACATACTATAGAAAACACCAAAAAGGGGGACCATCAGATGTTATAATGGTTACAATGCTGGACTGACATAGAATTGACAGTGGTTCAAGTCCTGGACCCGGTGGCTTAAAACTCACAATGGGCACACCAGCATGCATGCCCAAAATCCTGAGAGGAAAATGGAGGAGAAAGGATTGCAGCGTGGTCACCCCCCCACACACACACACACACACCCAGGGAGTGATTTCTCACTTTCTGTCTGTCTCTCTTTGCCTCTCCACTAGTGCACATGCCCTATAGCAAAAATTTATCTTTAAAAAAAGAGAAAACACCGAAAAGGAGAACTGATAGGCCCTACAGCATGAGACTATTTGGAGGTATCCTAAAGGTCTGGTTAAGTCTAAGTCTTCCTTGTTCTTCTCTCCATGATGAAGTCTCCACATCTCTGATGTTCTGTACAACCTGGTGGGTTCTAAAGCCTTGGACACCAGAAGCTCAACTTTGGCTCAATTTTTCTGTACTCTTCAGAGGCATTAAAGAGACTCCTTGAGTAAACCTAAAGCCATCAGGATTAGCACTCCGAAGTATCACAGCCACTTGGGAGGGTGATAAAATGTTGAATAATTTAAAAATGTGTTGCTCCAGCCAGTGGTCAGTTCACAGAGAAGTCTGTGTCTCTGCCTTCGAGTACCATCAGCTGGACCGGTCCAGTCAAACAAACATTAGACTATATTTTTATTTTATTAAATTAAATGTATGGTGTCATAGTCAGCATCTATTTATTTCTAATTCAAACACCTTAGGTTAAAAAGTAGCATTCAAGATTTAAAAAAGAAATTTCCCTGTCATGAAATACGATTATGTGTTGAAAAATAAACCACGGCCCCCACCCCACCCCACCCCAGAGATGCACAACACGTTTCAGAGTTCTCCTCAGGCCATGATGTCCTATGAAAGCCCTTGTCAGTTGTTTTCCAGCAGAGATAATCAACCTGACTTTCTAGTTTCCGTGGAACACAATAAGGACACAGAAGAAAGCCTGAACTCCCTCCTAAAAACTACTCCTCAGATAAGAAAGCACACCTTCAGTGCCTGCGTATTGCCGTCCTTTTATTCCCTCACATGGTCTTTCAGTTGACCATTCGTTCATTCAGTGAATTCATGACTATCATGTACTGTGGCTACAATGTCTCTGTGCTTGTGAAATTTTCAGTTTAGTTCTGGAGAAAGACATTAATCAGAGGTAGTCACACTTGTTTATGTAAAATTACGAACTGCAGTTTTGTGCCGTGAAGGAAGAAGACAGTTTCTATCAGATCCTGTGTGCTGTATGAACCTAGAGCTATAGACAGGAACCAATCCATGTAGGATTATGGAAGTCATGTTAAAGATCTGGTTTCAATTCTAAGAAAAGGGTTTTATTCTACTAAAGGGTTTTATGAAAAAGAGTGGCATGCTAGTATTTGTGTGTTGAAAAGACCAGTTTGGCTGCCACAAGAGGAAGGAGTTAGAGATAGTCGTGGTGGTAAGTGTGAAAATTGTAGATTTTGCTACAGTTCAAGTGAGATAGTGATTAGACAAGAATGGTGATGGTTAGGGATAGAGAAGAAATGGAGAGACTGAGAGACCGAAAAGTAAATAACTTTGGGTAAATTAAAATTTGGGAGTTGAGGGAAAAGAAAAAGAAATTGATCTTAGACTTTGGTCCCAAAGGTATCAGATGGTGGGACTAGCAGATGATGTAATGGTTGTGTTGCTGGACTCCCACATGGCCAACTGAGGTGCAAGCCCTGCACCTGGTGGCTTCAAACTCATGCCAGGCATGTGTGTGTGCCTGCCCAAAATCCCGAGGGGAAAATGGAGGAGAAGGGATTGCAGCGGGGCCTTCCCCTGGGGTGGGAGGGTAATCTCTCACTTTCTATCTGCCTCTTGCTGGCAAGCGCATGTGCCCTACTGTAAAAATCTCTTTAGAAAGAAAGAAAGAAAGAAAGAAAGAAAGAAAGAAAGAAAGAAAGAAAGGAAGGAAGGAAGGAAGAAAAATCAGATGGACAGTAATATCTTTCCTAAAGGAAGAACACTGAGAGGTTAGGGTATGAGGTGAAGAGAGGTCATAAATTTAATCTTGGATGTGGTAAATCTGAGGTGCCTCTCTCTCTCTTAAAGAATTTTATATGTAACTTTTTAAAATTTTATTTATTTATTTATTTATTTATTTAAATTTGACCAGACAGGAACAGAGTGAGAGAGAGAGAAAGAGAGAGAAAATGAGAAAGCAAGCAACCAGGTCCGGACTCAAATTGCAGTCAGCTATGTGGGAGTCCAGTGCCTTTAACCACCATGCCATCTGCCTGTTCCCCCACCCTTTTTTTTTTTCTTAAAGAATTATTTAATTTAATTTTGGGGCCAGCGGCTGGTGGGGTGGTTGAGGCACTGAACTTCCACATGGCTGACTGTGGTTTGAGTCCTGGACCCAGCAGCTTGCTTTCCCACTTTCTCTCTCTCTCTCTCTGTGTCTCTCTCTTACCAAATTAAAACAATAATATTGGATAACATTAAATAATTACTTTTTAAAAAAGAATTCATTAAATTCATTGTTAATTTTCCATAGGGCATGTGCACTCACCAGAGAGAGAGGGAAAGTGGGAAAGCAAGCTGCCAAGTCCAGGACTTGAACTGTGGTCAGCCTTCAGGGATTCCAGCTCCTTAACCACCATGCCACCTGCTGGCTCCCTGAGGTGTTTCTTATACAATCATGGGAAGGGGTAAGTAGGTAGATAAATAAATAGGTCTATAGCTCAGAGAGGTCTGGGCTAGTGCTTTGGGATATTAGGATATAGACATAATTGAAGCCACAGAATGGTTAGGATGACAGAGATTGTGGCTAGGAGGAGAATACTGAGAAGAAATGGTGGCTATTTGACCTTTGGGGAGTGTTTTACTGATCTAAATACTTGGAAATCATGATATTTCGTTTGTACTAATTGCTAACTAAATTACAATGTTAAAATGAATTCAATAACATAACAGATAGATAGAAAATTTAGAAATTTTCCAAAGCACCATAAAAGGACCTTAAATAAAAAATAAATCTGGGTCTCTGTAGAGTTGGTATTTTGTACATTATTGGTAAGTTTGGGCTTAGTCTCAATTTTGGACTTGATTAATAAAAGATTAGGAATGCACAAGAGCAATTTTTTCAAACATAAGACCTCTTCATGCACAATAAAAAACTTCAAATTAGAAAAAAATGAGTCACAAAAAATCCTTTTGTGGTCATTTACCTTGAAATTTATGATCCAATCCACTCTTAGTTGAATCATAATCATCAACCAGTCTTCGATTCTTGGTTGAATCAACATCTTCCACATTCAATTTATTATCAAATGGGGAGCTTCTTATGGACTGTTTTTCCTTCTCATTCTTTTCCTTTTCTGTTATTGCCTTTAGCAGGTTCAAGTTATCAACAAAAGAATCATTGCTTTCACCTGGTTTGCTTTCTGAAAGAAAAGCCCCAAGCCAACATATCCATTTTAGTTAAGATTCTCATAACCCACATTATTTAAATGAACATTGATAAGATTTCTCTTTACCTGGAGGGTATGTTTTTTTAATTTTGTCTGCCTCTGCTTCAGCAATCTGTGGAACAAAGAAGTAGACCTTGTAAATCATTGCTTCCCTGTTTAACAAGTATGAGAGCCGAATGATTTAATCTCTATGGGATTTATTTTCTCTTTTGTAAAAGTAGATAAAAATGCCTCTCTCAAAGCATTGTTACAAGGATTAAATGAGATAAAAGTGCAGATGCTCTATAAATATTCATTGCTTCCTTCTATAATACCGGTAAAAGATAAATCTGTGGTAATTAAGCAGTCTTACAGCAGAATGGATGTGATGTGGAGGTTTCTGGCTTATGCAGTAGCTCTATGTATTTCACAGTTAGATGTGCATCTCTGTTAGGGCATAGATATTACTGAAACTGGACTTCCCCTTCTATTCTCTGTCACCTTTCCATTAAGCTCCTGAAGTTTGTAAATTCAAAAAGATTGCAGCATAATTACATCAAATAATAATAATTAAAGCAAAATAAAATAGCACTTGTAATTTTACTTTTACCTACCTGTTCATTCAGAGGTCTTTCCGCACTTAATTCTCTATTATGTAGAGACTTGTCTAGAATAAACACACACAAATACAAATTTAATCGTGCATTAGGAAGACAAAATATGTCTCTTGTTAAATAAATATAAAAAATGATATTACAAGCAATAGTTTTGGCTGATTCCAAAACAAAACATATATGAACAAAGGTTATCAAGATCCACGATAACAATGATTATCAGTGTTGCTTTGCTCATTATCTTGGTGTGTTTAGTGAATTAATAAGAGCCATATTTATTCTCTGAACAGAAATCTAACACATAGTTTTAACACTTGGCTTACTAGTTATCCTCAGCCAACAAGAGTATAATTGAGATTGGTATTATTAGCACATTAAAAACTCATATATTGCACGTGTTAAGAATAGAGTATCTGAGAAAGGTTGTAAAGTAATTAGGAAAAACAAAAAAGAAAAAACCAAACCACTTTAGGTGGAAAAGATTCTCTCCCTTTTACAAAGTAACATCTTTGGAAACGATCCATCAGTTAAACGATCTATCAGTTAAAAAGTGAGGGGGGAAAATCTCTCTTGGGCCTCTAAATTCGACCGATTTCTCTGTCAATACGCTCGGATATGATTTGATCAGAAAATGAGGCAGGGTGATTACGGATGAGCTCACGGATTACGCCAAGCTTTACCTTTTCGTGGCGAAATAAAAGGGAGGTGAGAAGAAAAGCGTCCACTTACCTTGGCTGCCTCCGGGTTTGGGGAAAGCTTGGAGAGGGCTGCCGTGGAGCACCAACACCAGGATCCAAGTGCCGGTCCAAAGGAACCCCATTCTTCCACGCTCGGCTTCAGAAACAGCCTGGCGCCGGGCTCCCGGAGCTGCAGCTTTTGTTATGAATGAAAAGAAGGAGTAAAAACAGGAAGAGCCCGGACTGGGGGTGCGGGGAGGGAGAGCGGCGGGGGCCGGCGAGGGGCACTGCGCCGCTCCGGAGTTGAGGATCGGAAGGGCTCCGCGCTCCGGAGTCGGGTCTCCAGGTGGAGGAGAGCGCTGTCCGCCCCGTGGGTGCTGAAGTTCCTGTGACGCGGACCGGCCGCGGGTCGATTAGGGCGTAGCTTTACAATCTCTCCCTCCCGGAGAGGAAGTGAGGAGGGAAGCGCATGCTCCATGGCAGCCGGAGGCGGGAAGGGATGGCGTCAGCGGCTCCAAAGCTACTCCAATCCCCCGGGAACAGGACGGAGGAGGGGCGACAGACCCTAGCGTATTTTCTGTGCCGCAGTCCTAGGGGCGCTCCTGCGCTCAGGGTCAGCTGGATTGCTGTCAACTGGACATCATCGTCGTAACCTCCCAGTAAACGTGACCTCAAGGACCAAATGCCACCTCTGCCCGTGCACTTGTCAAGGAGAGTTAGATAACCTTGTGCAAAGACGTCTGTCTTGGGATTCTTTTTCTGGGAATATATACTCCAGAATCCCTTCTTTCCACTCTACCTAATGTACCCAAAAGGTAGATATAATCCTACTATTCTTTAAAAAGCCCTGTCGTTTGGGATTTGTGTTGACATACAAACGACCCTTGGTGCTCTCGTGTTTCTGCTCCACCGAGTCTTTTAAATCTGGAGGTTCAAGGAACACTCTTCTAAATAGATTGCTGCAACATACTGCCACCATCCCAGATGCTGACACCAAAACAAAAGCATTGCCAGTCCCCTAAGAATGAGTCCTCATCTGTCCTGGGCAGATGAGCCACAATGATCACCTGCATTTTAACACCCTCCTTTCTTCAGCGAGTGGAGAACTCCCCTTTCACACCACACACACACACACACACACACACACACACACACACACACAAAGGCAGGAAGAAAGAGAAAGAAAGAAGAAAGGGCTGCATTTCTGTAAAATTCTTTTCCAGTTTCAATTATGCCTTTCAATTAGGACTTGGTTGTTCCAAGCGTCTTTCAAGAAATAAGATAGTCATGAAAAGCATGTTTCATCATACCTAAGTCAAGGAGGTGTTTCCTATATTCTGAGGATATTCCGGAAGTACAAGTTTCTTGCACACAGGAGCTATTAAAAGATTCTTAAATGATGAAGACAAGCAATACTAATGTGAGCAGGGTGCTGAGTAAGCTCTGATTTTTAAACAGAACTTGGACCCTTTCCTTGGGACTGCAGCATGCTGGGAACCACTCTGAATAATAACCAAAGAGAAGAATTCAGCACAATCAGGCCTTTGATTTCCGCAACGCTCCTTTCAAGGAGCAAGTTGGTTATTCAAGTACCAAAAAACAAACAAACAACTAAGCTGACATACAAATCTCCTTCATTCTGGAGGTTTCTGAGTTTGGAAGTCACCCAAATAATTCCTTTCAGAATCTAAAGAGTACTTCTAAATCTAACAGCTACTTCAAAAAATAGCTCTCTTAGCAGTGATAACATAGCATTATTATCCCAGTATACTGTGTTTGAAAAAATTAAATCACACTGAGAAATCCCAATGGTGCGAGGGGCAAATTTCATTAGTTTCCTCTTAAAACAGAATCGGCAGGTTCTATTTCCCTCACTCTGTTACTGTGGAGGTCAAACGAGTACCTGCTTTGAACAAGTCATTTTGAAACCCAGAATATTCTGATATGACCTAAAAAAATGAGTCACAAGATGTTTTCAGCTTTTAAAAAACATTACCCAGTATTGGGACCAGCAGTTAGCGTAATGGCTATGTTGCTGGACTCCCACGTAGTCAACTGCTATTCCAGTCCTGGACCTGGTTGCTTAAACTCACGCCAGGCGCTTGTGCGTGTGTGCCCAAGATCCCAAGAGAAGAATGAAGAAGGGATTGCAGTATGGCCATCTGCCTGGGGGGTGATTTCTCACTTTCTATCTCTCTGTCTCTCTCTGTCTTTCTGGCGAGTGCACGCATCCTTTAGCAAAAATCTCAAAAAAAGAAAAGAAACATTACCCAGTATTGAGAAATAGCTATTCATTGATCCTGAGATTCACTTTGTCACTGAACTAATCTTCCAGCCTCATTTCCTCCTTTTCTCCATTCTTGGCCTTCCCCCAGCCCCTCTGTACAGGTTTGAGATGGGAGAGACCCTGGATGGAATGACTATTGCCGGGTGGCTACTGAGTTCCTTGCCTTGCTTGCCCCTTCTCCGAGATGGGTCATTTTACCCCTCTGACATTCGGATTCAAAGGGATTATGTTAAACAGACACTAAATTTAGGAACATGTTATATATCTGATCAAATGAGCTGTGGAGCACCAAGTTAAATGTGCTAAACTATTTTGGCCTAAAATGGCCACTGTCCTCCCATGCTTGGCATAAAAGTACATGCCAGGCTATTTTCCTGAGCTGGTTGCTAAGTTAGAGGCAATCACACCAGCCACACTTCAATCACAGAAAGCCCACCTTTGGGGTTGTTTGTGCAGCCTACCCTCCAGCCCTAACCAATCCAACTGTTTCTCTACCTCCTTCCTTCATGTTCATTTTTGTAAGTAATTTTTCCTTTTCTGAAACTTAAATACCTTGAGGCTAGCGGGAGTTGTCTGGAAATCTGAGGACAACTGCCAGATTTAAATCATATTACTATTTGCTCAGTTAAAACTCTACTCTGTTAAATTGGCTGGTTTATTTTTCTTATAACAACTGTAAATATAAATTAGTTTACATTCTTCAATCTTTTTTTCATTTTGTTTTGGGAGAGGTTTTTGCTATAGAGCGCATGCGCTCCCCACAAAGACAAACAGAGACAGAGAGACAGAAAGCAAGAAATCCCCCCCCAGGGGGGATGGCCATTCCGCAATCCCTTCTTATCCATTCTCCTCTCGGGATCTTGGGCACACGCGCACATGCACACGCACCTGGCGTGAGTTTAAGCCACCAGGTCCAGGACTCGAACCGCGGTCGACTACATGGGAGTCCAGTGACATAGCCATTATGCCAACTGCTGGTCCCACATTCTTCAATCTTCTGGATGATCCCACTTAGTATTAATCTGTGAATGCAGTAATCTTAAATTACATTTATTTATTCCTTCATTCATCAAAAACGTATTGAGCACTTGTAATGTACTAGGTATTGAGATAATTTCTGGGTATTTAAAAGCAACTAAGACTGTGGCCAGAGCTGGTCTTACAGCCTAACAGAAAGGGCTGTGATTATAATAACAAAGATAACACTAAAGGCAACAATTTAGGGGGTTGGCAGGTGGCGTGGTGGTTAAGGGCGTTGGACTCTTGCGATTCCAGTCTCAGACCTGGTAGCTTGCTTTCCCACTTTCCATCTCTCTCTCTCACTCTGTCCCTCTTTGGTCAAATTAAAAGAAAGAAAGAAAGAAAGAAAGAAAGAAAGTTAAATAAAATAATTCTTTTAAAAATTATAAAAATAAAAATTAGAAAACAATGTAGGTTTCAAGTGCAACACAGTTATTATTTAAATGTAAGTGAACAAATAAGCATAAGAGTGTGTTATGAATCCCTATTTAAGGCCAAAGTTTAGGTGGAGTCTAAATAATGGAATAAATGGTCAGAAAAGTTTTCAAAGATGGGGCCAGCAGATGGAGTAATGATTACATCGCTGGACTCCCACAGTCGACTGTGGTTTGAGTCCTGGACCTGGTGGCTTAAAGTCATACCAGGTGTGCATGCATGCATGCCCAAAGTCCCGAGAAGAGACTGGAGAAGTGATTGCCACATGGCCATCCCCCTTGTGGGTTAATTTCTCACTTTTTGTCTCTCAGTCTCTCTGTGTATCTCTGGCGAATGCACATGCCCTAGAGCAAAAATCTCTCAAATTAAAAAAAAAAAAAGGTTTCAAAGGAAAATGATCCTTTGATTAACAAAAAATATTAAAATATTTTGTTCTTATGTTAATCACATTATATACATTGAATAATATAAAAGTATGTGTTGAAATTACACACCAAGCTGCATCGAGACCAATCAAATAATCATGAAACAGACAAGGTACAATATCTGGTGAGTTTGTCATCACTGCTTATGTGTCTGTGAACATGTGCATAGGTCAGTTCTCACATGGAGCAGATGCTTTTTGGGCTGAGACTTGAAGATAGAGACATTTGAATGTTATTTTCATTTATTATAGAAAAACAATATTTTAATTATGGGGCAGGCAAGTGGCATGGTGGTTAAAGGTGTTGTACTCCCACATGGCCAACTGCGATTCCAGTCTCAGACCTGGCGGCTTGCTTTTTCACATTCCCTCTCTATCTCACTCTGTCCCTCTCTGGTCAAGTTAAAATAAATAATAAATAAATAAAGTTAAAGAAAATAATTATTTAAAAAATAATATTTTAATTATTGTTCCCTTTTTTATCAGAGGAAATTTCAAACACAAATATTACAATGAGCACTCATGAATCCATTATCCAACTTCAATAATCATTAACTCATGACCGTCCTTTTTATTTTATATCCACAACCACTTCACACCCAATAAATGATTTACCCATACAAACTCCAGATTCATGCTATTTCATCCCTAAGTATGTGGGTATATCCAAAAGATAAGAATTACTTTTTCCCAGTATTACTGTAATACCTTTAACATATCTCATGATAATACTACCTTGGTGTCAATAAATATCCATAGTCCAAATGTCCCCACTTGCCTTATAAATAGTTATGCAGTTGGTTTGCTTGGATGCAACAAAGCCATCCATTCCATCTGGTTGTTATGTGAGAGACACAAGAATGTAAGACTGGAAAGGAAGGTCTGGCCAGCAGACGGCATGGTGGCTACATTGTTGGACTCACACATGGCCAACCAGGGTTTGAGTCTCAGATCCCGGGGCTTGAAACTTAAGCCAGGCACGTGTGCGTGAGTGCCCAAGATCCCAGGAGAAAAATGGAGAAGGGATTGTGGTGTGGCCATTCCCCTTGGGGGGTGATTTCTCACTTTGCTCTCCCTGCCTCTGTCTCTTTCTGTCTCAAGCGAGCACACTCGCTCTATGGCAAAACCTCTTAAGAAAACAAACAATAAAACTGGAAAGGCAGGTTCCAAGGTTTTCTTTGACTTGTCCAGATGAGATGACCGAGAATACTGCACACCCTTCCAATGCAGTACGTTTCCCATTGTGCTGCTTTTTGTAGATGCTTCGATCTTCCTCATTTTAACAATAATCAATAT